TGCTGTTGGCAACACTGACATGACTATTGCTTCAAGGGTTATAAAGGACATTTTTTTTTCTTTTAAACCAGCTATAGTTAAGAATGGAAGTGCACTGATTAAATGCAGTTTTATAAGTCATTTGGTGTTGACAAGCAACAAAAGTATGAAAAGATTTAGGAACATGGATTTAAATTGACTGGCACATTAATTTTAAAAATTAATTTAAAACTATTGCCTGTGTGAGCCAAAGATTGTGAATGTGCACAGGCTGTTTGATTTGGAGCAACAAAGCTGATTTAATTTTTTTCACATCTGATCTCACATAGAGGGTGATGCGTGTAGGAAAAAGCTGCCAGTAAACCTGGTGGAGACAGGTACAATTGCAGCATTTAAAAAGCATCTAGATGGATATAGGAATCGGAAGGGTTTAGAGGGATATGAGCCAAATCTGGCAATGGGTCTAGGTCTGGTCGGCACAAGCGGGTTAGACTGAAGGGTTTGTTTCCATGTTGTATGACTCTGTGACTCTTTTTATAAAGAGGGGATTACCTGGATTTCAACTGAATCAAATTCACTTTCTAATTTTGTTCTAATTTATTATAACCTCACTGAAGTGACATAGATGTTATATTACATTAAGTATAATGAAAATTTTCATCAAATAACAAGCATATGCAACCGCAAATAGTTGGATTAGTATAAGTGAGAAATGTTTTGCTTTACTGTGCCAAAATCATTAACTCACCAACTAATTTTGGCATAATAATAAAGCTGTTGGATATTTGTAGACTTATTCAATCCATGAAAATGCAATGCTGACTTTATGTACAGTACTCTAATATTACAATTTAATTTTTTTCCTCTTGAAAGTCTGGTATTTATCACTGCCAGTACAGCTGACATGGAGTACACTGTGTTGAGAATTGTGGGTATCATATGCGCACTTAGTGAAACAGATCATCAGTAAGAGAAAAAGTGTTCATTCTGGTTGTAATGGAAACTCTTTTTAAAACTCTGGATAAAATCCCTTAGCTTATCTATACCCAAGTGTACTCAATAAACAGCAACTATCTGTGGCGAACGCAGAAGCTACCAAAGTGGGGGAATATTACCCATTATAAATCCATTTTATATTAAATATTCCAATATGTACTAGTTAATGCCGTGTGGTTTTTGAATATCACTGCTACTTTGTTCACCATTGCAACATAATCCTCTATGTGTTCTGCAAAGTTGTCAAATCTATTGCATTCTCATAAACAGCACAAATAGTTTGAGAGGGATGTTTCTCTTAAATCTAGCAGATCTTAGTATGTAAGGGAAGAGGAATTCTGTTTCAGGAATGGCAGTGAAATCATAATTCCTAACTTATTTTGTGTGATTACTGCATTTATTTTATTACGGATAGGCAGAATTAGCTTACAGTTGTAATAAGCATTTTGTATGTCTGTGCCTTTCAGTTTCTCAGATTTCATTGGTTGACAGTCTTGTCAATGAAATACCAATGGGATATGAGATGTGGTAGAACCCAATCACCATTCACCTAAGGCATGTCACAAACCCCTACCAGTTGGGATGGTAAAGGCAGCTCCCAAAAATATTCAGCTTTTTTTTCAGGTAGGTGCTGCTATTCTGAATTATTTTAGTACCCATCATTTCCAAATAAATGCCATTGTGCAATGACCAACCTCTACTTCCCTGAGAATGTTAGCTCTGAGAATCTGTGCCTGATCCCTTAAATTCAGCTTGAACTTCCATAAGCTGCGCTGGTGAATGAATTACCACCACCTTTGAATTTTTATTAGATTGGCCTTATTTCCAAACTTGATGCTGCTGAAGTGAAGTTGTGTTCGATAGGTTTCTGATTTCATTTCATAAATCACATGGCCTCTGAAGCAAAACTGAAGGTGGTAGCCGGAAGTAAAAGGGATTGACAGGCAAAAGTGCTTTTGAGGAGAGAAAGGGGCAGAGTGGGCGATCCTTTAGTATGGAAAGGATTAAATTGAGAAATGCTGTTGTGGTGATTAGAAAGGCACATATGCTCTAGTTTGAGGATAGGATGGATGAAGAATTGGGATACTGTGGAAGAATGGGATTTCCCTTGGCTTTCTTAGAACCATAAAGAAACTTGATTACAATGTAATATCCAGTCTTTTATATAGTAATGTCAAATGTGATAATATACATTCCAACTTGGAATGATAAATAACATTACTGGAGAATGATTAATTTATTACAATAGTTGAGATTCTCTACTTGTAAAGATGCATTTTCAGAATGGAGATTTCTTGCAAGGAATTTATTTGGGAAATAAAAATAAGAAGTGCTGGAAATATCCAGCAGTTCAGGCAATGTATGTGTAGAGCAAAGCAGTTGATATTTCTGGTCTGACTTTCCAACAGAACTAGTTTATGAAATAAGTTAAAATATTGCATGGGTGTTATACATAAAGGAGCTTAAATCTGAATAGATTGAGTGAGTCTCAACATCTGTAAGTTAGCTTTGTTTAAATATGACTTGCTTATACATACAAAACTTTATATAAACTGTTTAAAACATCCATTAATGTAATTTTAATTGTCAACTATCCAAATGTATATGGAAGAGACTTTTTGTAATGAAGTGCTGATGAATACAAGTTATTCACTGGGACTGGTTGTATTGTCACAACTCACTGGAGTAGGGTGAAGTCAAGCCCCATTATTCCTGGAGTCTTCACAAAAGTTAAAGATTTTAAAAAGTACCTAAAGGTTTCCCAGTTTACCTGTCTTGCTAGACCCAGGCTGACACAGAATTGACGAGGTTTCTGTACTAAATTGAAACCGCTAATTGTAACATACATTGACTCTAGCTACAGTTAAGAATTGTTGGCATATAGATGTGCTAATTACTTAAAGCTCTAATCCCATTTATAAACTCTCTTTTATGCATAGACAGGTATTTAAAAGAAAATGAATTATGGACTGGGAAACTCTGGCAATGTAGTTCCATGGTGGTTGTTCGCAGGAACTGTTCAGATGATTCTTATGATTGTTGTGCTGGTCAGAACTTCGCTTCTCACTCATCCTTCTTCGAATAATTTACTGGTTTGCAAGAAGCAAACAACAGCATCACTTTTAATGGGTTTATGACTTATTAAAGTCACAGCTTACAGCAACTGCTGAAGGAAAGATAAACTGGGTTCCTTTAGGTTGAAAGTGGCTTACTGCAGAGAACAGTTCAAAAGTTCCTAAGCTGGTTTCTTCTTAAAGCTCTGTATCTTGTTCACAGCCCCACGCTGCTCAGCTACCCGCGAATCAATGTCTCAATTGTTGGCAGCAGAAGGCCTTTGTCGTTGATAATTCATCACTAGTTCACAAATCAATCCTTTATTTGTTGCAAGCCAGAGCTCCATTAGTAGGAGGGTTTTTTGGGGACAGGGAGGTATGGGTTGTTGGGTTGTTGGTCAGGAAGTGAAAGGGATCATTTGTGTAGTTATCGGGAAGTTCTGCGTGGATTTAACCTGTCTGATGTTTCCTAGTTATGAATAAGGTAAGTAAGACTGATCTTTCAGAACTCAGATGTCAGTCAGAGATATTAGGTCAGTGTCCAGGGGAGCTGTGGAATTTCCCATCGGAAATTTAAACTTCCAGGACCGTTCCTACGAAGTCACTCCATTCAGACTATTGAGTGGCCTTGATGTATTTCTAGGGGTACAACCAGTATCTGGAGACTAGAAGATCTGGAATATAATTTCCAAGCATTCTTATCCTATTTCTTAGTCACAAATTCCTTTCCTGAACATAAGTAGTCAATCTCTGCATCTTGGATAGGTCGTACATGTTGATGCAAGAGCATGCTGTACATTCGACTGTATTTTTTTAAAAAAGCTGTTTCTCCCGTACAAGATCCTTATTTCTGCCTTGCCTCCTTAAATGCTTTTCCTTTTCCTTCCTGGATGAAATTGCACTTGGTGGAGAATGTTTGACAAACACAACAAGCTTCTACTATCTCCAGCAGAAACCAAAATTGATGGAGAAACTTGGTAGGTCTGGCATCATCTGTGTATCTTCAGCTGGCCAGTCTTGTGATGAGACTATAAAGTGCCTTGTGAGCAAGTTGTTTGACTGTAGAAGATATGCAAGTAGTATAGTACAGGAGAGCTCATTGACTAGTATTCCTCTTCAATTCTCTCCTCTTTCCCAAAACCTGGGACACTGAAGCAAATTATTTGTTCCTGCTCTGTCTTGATAATGATCATCTAACTCAGTGCAACATTAGGGTTAAATCTGCAGACCTCTTTACCATAAAGGAAGATTTGCTTACTGAGCCGCCAGAGTAATTTATTATTGGTAGCTAATGATGTGTGGGAAATTGTCTTTGTGTCAGGAATCTTTCAAAGACCTGTTTGATTAATCAGGAAGTGATATTTTCCTACTTGGGGGCTATAGACTGGAAATCATTTTGGTACACTTTATAACATGTGCTTTCCTGTATGATGGCTTTTGGGAAGTTCTGATTATTGCTCCTAGAAAGTGTATTTAGAGACAGCATTGTGTAAACAGAAGTCCTTTACACTGGGAATGATTTTAAATTTCTTTAGAAGAAAAGGGTACATTGAAGGGATGTTTTAGCATTTATGTATCTTTGAATGTTTATCTTCAATGGAAGTATAATTCATATAAAAAGATTACTTTTCTTATATTTAAAGACCAATCATGTTTTGAAGGCATTCTTTCTTCTTGGTCAGTTTCACAATTGAAGAGATCTAGGAATCAGATGAGGAGAAACTTTTTTCCTCGGAGTTGTTGGGATTTGGTATGCACGGCCTTGGAGAGTGATGAAGGCGGATTGCATAGGAGGTTTCAAAAGAGAGTTGGATAAATATATGAAAGTGATGAATTAAGAGGGCTGTGGAGATATGGAGAATGGGACTAACTGGGTAGTTCTTTTGGGAACTGGTACTGACGTGATGGGTTGAATGGCCTCCTTATGTACTGTAAATTCAATGATTCTATGAAACCTTTCTTGCCTTCTAGATTCTGTGGCATCTGGATATTTTCCGACGGAGTTTAAGACTGCTGCCTGGACATGTATGTTCAGGGAATGCTTGCATTTTTTGTGCTTTGAAGGTAAGTTCGATTTTTTTCTTTTAAAAGCATTGGGATTATTGCTATAGTGCAATCAATCATTCTAAATTGTCCATTTGTGATGGTGGTACCTTATTCCTGCAGTTAATTTTGGCTTTGTTTGAGCAATTTAACATGTATTTTCTTAGATCTAACTTTGTGAAAGATGCTGTTTATAAGTTTACTTATGCTTTTATTAAGCCCTCAGGAAGTCTCAGGATTTATCATTTATAAATTCTAGGAAATGTTCTTGAAGGAAAAGATCACTTTTGTAACTTTCTTAAAGACTTTAAATCTTACCTTTGTTATGTGTAGCTATTTGTCTGTTTCTTACCAATAACTACATTGCACATCTATTGGGACCAGTTTCCATCCTCTTGACCGAACCTTTTGATCTGATAGGATTTCCACATTTTTATTGTTGTCACTTGCCTCACAAAGTTCGATTTACTTCTGCATGTCAGACGGTGCTTTTCCCTCAAATAGTTGGAATGATAAGACAACAGAAATTTACTTGTATCTAACTCCTCCATCTTTTGCTTATGGGCAAGATCCAGGAAGGTAACTTACCTGAGGCAGCTCCCCTCTATTTACATTGGTATAGGATTTCAGTTTTATCAATCATGTCGTTGTCGTGTTCTTTTGAACCACTTTTTCTTGCTCTCTTAGGCCCAAATACACGCACTCCTCATCTGCATCATTGGAGATTTTGTGCAATGTTTTTATATTCCAAATTATTATTTCCTCAGAGTGAAAATCTCTAAAACAGAAAATTTCAGTAACTACTTCAGAATTAGGTTTCTTAAGATGCTAAATATATTAAATTCTGAATGCCTATCAATTTTAAAAATAAGTGATTCACATTACGGCTTGGTTCTGTACTCTTTTTCAGATTGATTTGGTAATTTCACCAGTGCTGCTGCACCGATTGCCTGAAAGAGGCTTGTTTATTACACTGGTTTGCTGCGTGTTTCTTTATACTGTGAACTTGTAAGGCACACTTGAACAAATAGGTAGTTTAATCATGTTCTGATCAAAGAGAAATCAATACAGCATTCTGAAGACAGTGTCTGCCTGTGAAGTTTCTTTAAAAACGTAATTCATCTAATTATTTTCTTTTAAAAAAATGCACTTTATCCATTTTTGCAAATCATTTGTGGTGTTTCCTTGCAGAATATATTTGTAGAATTTCGAAACAGTAGGGAAAAAGCCCTTCCCTCTGATATTTTGCGAAATGCTCTGGCTGAAAGTTTTAAAGATGAACACCGTTTCCAGCTCGGTCTAATGGATGATGCAGCAGAATGCTTTGTAAGTATCTCATTCATTTTAGTTTGTTTATTCATACAATCATTAGAAATTCAAAATACAGAAAGTGGATATTTGATGTATCATGTTCACGTTGATGCTTAACACCTGAATTTCTCATCTTCAACTACCTATTCCAACTCTCTTTTTTTAATTATTAATGGAAATCATCTGTCACCACCTGGGCACTCAAAGGGGAGAAAAATCTCTGCATCTCCCCACTAAATCTTTCTTTTGCCAGTGATTTTATATCAATTACCACTGGTCATCGATTCCAGTGCCAGAGGGTATACGGTGCTGAAGAATCGTATCAGACTCCAAACATTTAACATCTGCAGGGAGAGAAACAGAGTTACCTTTTAACAATCTATCAAGTCAGGGAAAATAATTCTAAATGTTCCAATATTGTCTCAAAACTGAATTTCCTCATCCTTGGCAATTCACTTCTGTTCCCTTTCTGCACCATCATACAATCCCTAAACTGTCAATCAAACTGAAAGCTACCCCATGATTTTTAAAAATTCTATTGAGACTTCTTTACTTTGAAATCTTATTACGCTACTTTAAAATCCAAGTGACTCTATTGCTTTTTAAAAAAACTGTCTTATCAAATTACCCAACCACAATTAAGAATTTGCATACATTTAACACTGAGGTGTGTTTTCATGTGAATTTTTCACAATGTACAATTAACAAGGTATTGTCTTTGTTGGCTCTCCAGGCCCATCACTTCATACTTTTCTGCATTGAACTCTATCTGCTATGTTGCTGTCCATTTCATCTTTGTCACCCTAGACATCAAAGAGAATAATGACCATAAGTAAATGCAAAGACTACTCATAATAGATGGTTGATTAAAAGGGGACATACTGAGAAACAAAGACATGGGTGAAAGTCTAAAGCAAAACGTAAGATTTAAAAGGCAGTACAGGATAGCAGTAAAATGGAAGGCACAATGTATGTTTTTTTGAGATAATTTATAAATATCTGGGATTAAAGATGTGAAATTTGCCTACTGATCATTTAAGTTTATTGAGCTGTTGGTGGTAAGAAAGATACAGGAACTTATTAAGGCTAATGGGGAAAATGGACTTTGTTGGACTCAATAATTAAGTTATTACAGGTCAGTTAATGGTCAAGGCTGTTACTGGAATATTGAGACAACTGCAGGAATTCATTAAACTATAGAGGGATGGCTTGGGGAGACAAATTATCAAAAAAAAACGGGTTAAATAAAATGCTAGAACACATGCAGTGAAGCTCCCAGCACTCCCCTCATCTGGTGAGTAAGTGGTCTCCTCGGCAGAAAACCTGCTTTCAGCCCTGCCTTCCCTTCGTGACATTGAAGAAATGACAACTGGTTGTCGGGCCTGACCTTTGGCTGCTGTCTCAGTCCACTGGTGACTCCTTCACTGCTCACTACTCCTCCAGTCACTTCTGTTGCTGAAACGTTTCCTAGTGAGCCTATTTAGAAACAAACATTGGAAAGAACCAGGCTATGACTCAAGGTACAGCTTTTCACCATTTTCTTCCATTTTGTGTATGGGGGTGACTTTGCTGTGATTGGCCATCCCATGAGTGAATTTTCTTGGAAGATTTTGGTGTGTATTTGCCAACACACCCCTGTATTTTGAATGTTTCTTTCATGTAAATCGCCAGTTAACAACCATTACTTGTGTACCACAATTAACATATAATTCAGATAGTGAATCACAGACACAGATCACTCTTTGGATAGAAAAGGTTTCTTCCCATCTTCTGTCTACTCCTTCTAGGAATCATATTAACTCAATGCCCATTGGTTATTGACTTTTTGACTGGGAGAAATTAGTCAATTTTATGCATTTTATCTAGGCATATAATTTTGCACATCTCAATTAAATCTACTATTCTATTCGAATGAAAACAGCCCTGGCATATCCAATCTTTCGTTTTAACTAAAAATTTCCAATCCTGACAAAATGTTAAGTTTTCTCTGTATTTTTTCAAGTGTCATCACATCTTTCCTGTAATTATGATGATCAGAGCTATACGCAGTACTTTTATCTGTAGCCTAACTAATGTTTTATACAGTCAGAGTATAAACTTCCTCTTGTGTGCTGTGCTTGTTAACTGGAGTTCTACATGCCAGCTTAACCATCTTATCTACCAGTCCTGCTATTTTCCAAAATGCCTTAACCGTTTCATACTTCTCAGAACCTTCCATTTTATTATCTGTTACCTTTCTTTGAATTTAATTACACTGGCAAACTGACCAGGCGATTAATATCTTCCTGCAGTCTGCAGCTTTCTTCATCACTATTAACTACAAAATATTTTACTATGCGCTCCTTTTCAGGTTTTTTTTTTCTCTTTAACATGGTTTATATAGTCCATAAAATACTTCTGACTAGAACAACATATTTCTTAACTTCTGAGTAAATGGCTTCAGAGGTAAACAATTTTGCATCACTTCTACTTCCATTATCAACAAAATATAAATGTTCATTTCACAGTCTTCCTTCATTCACAGTACCTCATTGTACTTGAGTATAGTATGGTATTTGGGAGCTGTTGGCCTTCATTCATGTCCTTGAATGCTGTAATGACAAGAACTAAGAACCCAATGATAGGAGTAACATCACCTTGCTTTTGCCAGGTCCTAATGTATTCTTACGCCTTTAGGCTCAGCCATTTTCACCCTTGCATTCATTTGTCATGCGACAAGTCTTGGCATTGCCATGATTGCTTTTGTTTTCTTTTAACATACCTTTGCTAATTTCCACATGGGGAGATGCTCCCTGGAAATGATTAAAAATGATGAAACACATCCAAATTAACTTTGAGGATGTAGAAATAAATGTAATTCTGAATATATACAAACTTGGTTGTTTGCCTGATAGGGAAAGTTAAGAAAATAGTAAACATAAATTGGTGGAAAAGCTCAGCAGATCCGGCAGCATATGTGGAGAGAAATCAGAGTAAACGTTTCAGGTTGAGTGACCCTTCCTCAGAACAGTGGACAGTTCTGAGGAAGGATCAGTCGACCCAAAACGTTCACTCTGATTTCTCTCCACATATGCTGCCAGATCTGCTGAGCTTTTCCACCAATTTCTGATTTACTGCATACGCAGTTCTTTCAGTTTTTAATTAAAAAAAATAGTAATATTGCAAATAGTGTGACATTTTATTGGAGAACTTAAAGGTGAAGCCATTTCCCCTTTAATGTTTAGAGCAGATTTGTGACTGGCTGGTGCGTTTATGATTGGAAATTTGAATTGCACCTTTATTTGAAGAGAACGTTTTACTCTGTTTAATGTGTTATATTGAACAAAAGAAATGTGTGAATTTGGCTAGATATCCATTTCCATTCTTCAACTATTTTTAGTTACTGCCCAGATTTATTTAGGAATATTGTGGAAAAAGGATAAGTTTTCATTGGTCTGCTGTGTTCATCCAGCTCTACACCTTGTTATCTCAAGTTTTCATCTTTGTATGTCAGAGGTTCAAGCAAATGAGTCCAAATTTGCCAGTGGTAAAACCGTTTTCTCAACCTAAAATGAGCCAGATCAGGCCCATGATTTTGATGTCCCAAGGTTTTGTTTTTTATCTTTTTAGGAGAATATTTTGGAGAGAATTCATTTGCACATCGTTTCAGACACTGAAATGGATACATGCACTGTTAAGTCTTGCATCACCCATCAAAAATTTGCCATGACTCTTTATGAGCAGGTGAGATAAAAACTCTTTCTATACAGAATAAATATGTATTAAACTATATGATTTAGTTATAAATAAACTTTGAAGAAATATTGATTGTGCAAAAGCTGGTTAAATACTGTGTGGCACAGAAAATTTCAGTGATGCGTGGTGGATCAGGGCTTAGCACTGCTGCCTCACAGCGCCAGGGACCTGGGTTCGATTCCAGCCTCGGGCGACCGTCTGTGTGGAGTTTGCACGTTCTCCCCGTGTCTGCGTATGTTTCGTCTGGGTGCTCCGGTTTCCTCCCACAGTCCAAAGATGTGCAGGTTAGGCGGATTGGCCATGCTAAATTGCCTGTAGGTTCAGGGATGCGTAGATTAGGTGGGTTATGCGGGATGTGTCTGGGTGGGATGCTCTGAGTGTTGGTGTGAACTTGTTGGGCCGAAGGGCCTGTTTCCACACTGCAGGGGTTCTATGGTTCTATGTATGTATAGGGAAAAGGTTTTCCTTTGAGGAGCTATGGAAATTGTACTGAAATAACATTGTTTGCCTGAAAAAAAGTTTACCATTCACAGCTTTCCTTTGTATCATTGGAATATATTGATTGTTTTAAGACAATAGACATTTTCTGGAAATGAATACAAGCTTGCTCCAAAAAAGGAATAATCATGAGCGAGTAATAAATGGGCATTTATTGTCAGCAACTCAAACATTATTGAAGTGTTGCCTTTGGTGCAGCCTTTTTGTGAGCAGTGAGGAATTATATTCTTGTGACATGAAGCAAGTGGACCACTTGGCCGTCTGTGGTTAGTAAATTAAGTTTTAATGGGAACAAGCGCCAGCTGAGAATGTTGAAATGGAAGCTGATGACTCTGAGGTTGGACAGAATAACAAGGAGGATCATCCTTGCGGTCGAGTGGAAGCCAGAAAAGGATAATGTGGGTGGGACTCCTTGGGGAAGGAGACACTACATTTGTGTACAGGTAATTCTACTATAATGCATGTTTCATCAATGCGAATTGGCTATAGCGCAATTGATGAATAGCGGACGCTGTGTTCGGATGACACAAACTTTCTACTGTACAAGTATAATGACTTTCTGTAGCAATTTCCCTATAATGTGATTTTCTATGGCAATTTTCTATAGCATGATTTTCTATAGCACGAGGTCACACTAGAACACAACTGTCGCATTATAGGAAAACTACCTGTATACACAAGCATTGTTGCTTGCCACTTGTCATCCCAAACCTGGATATTGTCCAGATCTTGTTGCATTTGAACATGGACTGCTTCAGACTCTTCAGATACTGAAGTCACAAATGGTGCTGAACATTGTGCAATCATCAGCAAGCATCCTTGCTTCTGATCGTATGGAGGGAACATAATTGATGAAGCATCTGAAGATGGTTGGGCTTAGGATACTCCTCCGAGGAAGTTGTACAGAGATGCAACTGAGATAACTGAATTCTTGCAATGACGATCATCTTTCTTTGTACTAGGTATGACTCTAACCAGCAGAATTTGCTCCCCGATTCCCATTGATTCCAGTTTTGCTCAGGCCCCTTGATACCACACTTGGTTAAATATGATCTTGATGTTAAAGGCTGTCACTCTCTCTTCATCTCTGGAATTCAGCTGTCTTACCTATGTTTGAATTAGGGCTCTAATGAGGTTAGAAGCTGAGTGGCCTTGGCGGAACACAAACTCAGCATTAGCTGCTGATCAAATGCCACTTGATGGCACAATTGATAATCTTTTCCATCACTTCGCTGATCATCATGACTGTTGGAGTGGTAATTGGATTAGTACTGCTGTCTTCGTGCAGGATGCACCTGGGCAATTTTTCACATTCTCTGATGCCAAAGTTGTAGCTATAATGGAACAGCTTGGCTTGGGGTGCAGAAATTCTGGAGCATAATATTCAAGATTGCTGTTTGGGCTCATCCATTTGCAGTACCCAATTTCTCCAGTTTTTTTTTTAATATCGAGTAGAGTAAATCAAATTAGCTGAAGACTGGCATCTGTGATGCTGGGAGCCTATTCTGCACTGCGGTGCTGGGCTTCCCCATTATTGAAAATGGGAATAAATTTGGACCTGCCTCCTCCACTGAGTTGTTCAATTGTCCACCATATTTATTGCAGTTATATAGGGCCTTGGTAAGGTCAAACCTAGAACATTGTGTGCAGTTTTGGTCTCCTTTTTGGAGGAAGGATGCTCTTGCTCTCGAGCGCAGTGAAGATTTACCAGGCTGATTCTGGGATGGCGGGTCTGACATATGAGGAGAGATTGACCAGGTTGGAACTGTTTTTCGCTAGAGTTCAGACGAATGACGGGGGGAATCTCATACAGACTTATAAATTCTAACAGGACTGGACAGGGTAGATGCAGGGAGGATGTTCCCGATGGTAGGTGTGTCCAGAACCAGGGGTCACAGTATGAGGATTTGGGGTAGACGATTTAGGACGGAAGTGAGAAGACACTTCTTGACCCAGAGCGTGGTGAACCTGTGGACTTCATTACCACAGGAAGTAGTTGATGCCAAAACATTGAATGTATTCAAGAGGCAACTAAATATAGCACTTGGGGCGAATGGGATCAAAGGTTTTGTGGAGAAAACAAGACTAGGCTAGTGAGTTGGACGATCAGCCATGATCGTGAAGAATGGCAAAGCAGGCTCGAAGGGCTGAATGGCCTCCTCCTGCTATCTTCTATGTAGGATTGCAGAGCTTTGATCTAATCCATTCGGGTGGAATCGTTTAAATCCATCACTTGCTGCTTATGCTGTTTGGCATGTAGTCTGTTTTGTACTTCAGTAGGTTGACACCTCATTTATCCACGTGCTTGGTGTTATTTCTGGGATGACATTCTGTACTCTTCATTAAATGAGGATTTATCCTCTGACTTGATGATAATGAGAGGGTGGGGATATACGCTGGACCATGAGGTTTAAGATTTTGTTCGAGTACAATTCTATGGTTGCTTCTACCCCACACTGCTTCATTGTTGCCTGGTCTTGAGTTGCTAAATCTGTGCAAAGTTTATCCCATTTAGCGTGCAGATAGTGCCGTGCAACATGATGGAGAATATGCTCAACATGAAGAGGGGAATTTGTCTCCACAAGGACTCTGTAGTGGTCACTTTTACTTTTACAGACTCATTTGCAGCAGACAGATTGGTGAGGATTATTTTTCCACTTGTTTGCTCTTTCACTTCGCTACAGACCCAGTCTAGCATCTATGTCCTTTTAACACTTGATTAGCTCATCAATAGTGGTGCTGCCAAGCCCCTCAGTGACAAATATGGAAATCCCCCACTTTTGCCATTCTCAGTACCTTCTCCAAGTGATGTTCAGCTTGGAGTACTGACATCAGCCAAGGGTGGGCGCTACATTGGCAAGGAAACTTCTTGGTGATTATTAATGTTTGACCTGATGTGAGAAGGTGACTCCCAGGGCACTCGAACCTGGGTCTCCAGAACATTACTTGGGTCTTTGGGTTACTGGTGTAGCGGCAATATCACTGCAATACCTCCCGTACGTGTAACTGTTTCAATTCCCTGTATTGAGAAGTTGATGGCATTTTCCTTGATTATTCATACTGCTGAGCTTAAATTTTTCTAGCTTCAAATAACCCTTTCAGGTCTGTAACCAAATATTTTTGATCTGGAATTTTCAAACAAAACCCCTTTCACTTGGGCACCTAACTATTCTGAACTAACTCCTTTCTCCAGGAGAAACTGTTCTTGCATCTGACCTAGCCAGGTGTTCTGCAAACTCTGACAAAAGCTTTCCAGTCTGAGTATTTTCCCTAAGAGCAAGAAACAAAAGTAAACTCATATCTTTTCAATGTTTACACACTCAGGTCATAAAACTCTCAATGCAAACTCACATTTTCACTTCAGAAATGCCCACGTGCCTGTTCTATGATACATACTGGCTTAAAATTACTACTGCTGTGGAAGTACTGACAAATAAATCCCTTCATGTATACAAACTAAAAGCAAATGTCACTCATTCAAAATCCAAGCTCTTAAATAAATGATATTAATATATAAGAATCATACACTTTACCTCACAGTTTATAGGGTTAGACGTATTTCCCTGTGTGTTGCTTACTATTTCCACTTTCTGGGCTTTATCAGGTCTTCAGCATCCTTCGTTGGTTTTATCTCCTTCTGGTGACTGTCTACTGGTCTCTTCTGCTACCTCTGTTCATGCTCTCATTGTATCATTTGTTTCTTTTGTATGTTGCGAACAAAATATTTCTTCAGCCTGCCACTATATCTGTTAAAGCCCAAAGGAAGACATCCGATGATGACTGAGAATGCAGGCCTATACCAGCACTGGTCCTTTTGAGGTCTCCGTTCACTGAACTAATGAAGGAACAACAAGCTCAGGCACGGTTGCCATTCAGCTTTCCAATGCACCCTTGGTTATGAAGCGTCGGGTTTTTCCCAGTGCCACTAAATGGACCTGTACTTGATCTAGAAATTTTGATTGAAAATTCAGCTCCGTGTCCAGCTATAAGGAATAAAAAATGGAAAAGGTCTGTAACTTTCCAAGAGAACAAGTTCAGACTTGAAATATTAACTATTCCCCAATACAAAGATGCTGCTGTACCAGCTATGTGTTTCCAGCATGTTTTAATTTCAGTTTTCCAGAATCTGCAGTGTTCTGCATTTGTACCAGTTGGCTGACCCAGAAAATTGTGTATTCAGTTGATAATAAAGAATCCGAAAATTCCATGAATTATCACCTTGATCTAAAAATTGATTTGGCTCTTAAAAACAGAATGCAGGAAAGAGATTGAGCACATATTGGCAAAGACAACAATCTGTCTACCAACGCCAGCAAAATGAAGGAGCTGGTCATTGACTTCAGGATCTGGTGTGGAGGACAGTGTCTATATCAATGATGCTGAGGTGGAGATGGTCAAAAGCATCAAGTTCCTGTGAGTGATGATTGCCAACAATCTGTCCTGGTCCACCCACGTCAACTCGACAGTCAAGAAAGTACATCAGCATCTCTACTTCTTCAGGAGGCTAAGGAAATTTGTCATGCCCACAAACACTTACCAATTTTTGTAGGTGCACTATAGAAAGCATCCTATCTGGGTGCCTCTCAGCTTGATATGGCAACTGCACTTTGCAAGACCACAAGAAACTACAGTGAGTTGTGAATATAGCCCAGTCCATCCATTAACTCCATCTATACTTACCTCTGCCTCGGCAAAGCAACCAACATAATCAAAGACTTCTTCCGCCCTCCTCAGTCGGGCAGAAGATATAAAAGTTTGAATACATGTACAAAAAGGTTCAAGAACAGCTTCTTCCCTGCTGCTATCAGACTTTTGAACAGACCTGTCATTTTAATTCTGATCTCTCTCTCTGCAGCAATAACACTGTACTCTGTATCTGATCTACTCCCCTGATGCTCTTTGTATGACACAATATTCTGTATAGCACACAAAACCACACTTTTTCATTGTATCTCAGTGTATGTGACTGCAATAATTTGAACTCAAACCAGTACTAAGTGCAAGCTCTTCTCAACCAATTCATGGGATTGTTTTGTTTAAGCTCAGTTCTTGATGACTACTCAAAAAGCGGATAAATAATGTAATGGAAATAACTGAGGGTATGGCTGCAGTAGTACATCAGTGAAGTTAAAAAAGTGCATGGACAGGTGTGTAGGTAAAGTTGCTATACTCTTACCAGACCTAAGGCTGCTGTCTCATGGTGGTAGTTTAGCCTGAGGGTCACTATGCCCAGGGCAAGGGGAGAGGTTGAGAAGGAAAGTCCTCCATTGTAAACTCAGATAGTTCAGGAATTGAGCCCACTGTTGACGTCACTGCACCACAAACCAGTCATCCAGCCAACTGAGCTAACTGACCCCCAGCACTAATGCACAGGATTCTTTTTTAAAAATGTATAGATTCATACATTAGAGTTGCATTTGCTTAAACCAACAAGGTTTCTTCATTTCAGAACAGAGAACAATTTCTCCATGCTTATTTCTGGGATGTAGGTTGTACCTCCCTAATCTGGCACTCTGTTCTGGTAATCTTTTTGGTCTGGCACCCACACTACTTCTGGTTCCCTGAAGAGCTTGCAGTGTTTGGTGCCTTTCTCCTGAAAAATGTGTTCTTGCTGCACCAGTGTAAACCTTTCACTAAGCTTGTTTGATCAGTTTCTAAATAATCTTCAACAAGCAGCAGCATAATTGGTCCATTAAAAGTCACTGTTTTGGGTCACATGCCCATACCCAGTCATCTTCACTCTGAAAGAAGGATTGTGAGCAGCATGAAGACTGCAATACTGACAAACCAGCTGAATTTATACCGACAGGTAAAACAGTCATCTACAGAACTGCTTTCCATCTCCCCTTTTAATGTTGCACGGTGCTTTTAAATGTTCTAAAAGCTCCCATTCTGACCCTTACACATGACATCCCATAGTCTGGCAAATGCTGAGTCCCAAGGCTGCCATATTGCATAGGAACAACCTGAATATTATTGCAGTGCTGCTATTGCAAAACTGGACATCTACCATCCTTGCCAGCACTACCCAAAAGGCAAAATGGCTGCAGTAATTAAATGTTAAGCTCTGATTTGAAGTGTTAAGAAGAGCAGCTTGGCACAAGTTTTCAGTGCGTCTTGTATTGGAATGCTGTGAGCCAACATCATGATCAAGTACAATATTGAAATGTTTAATTATCTCCCACGTTTTTGTGCTGCTGCACAGAAGGTTTCCCTTGGAGCAAAAATAACTCTGGTGCTACTGAATTATGCATCATACTATTTAGTAAAGAGCATTATATATGCAATTGCTTAGGCAGCATCTTAAGTAGCCTTTGAGGACCTATTTCAGCAGTGCTATGTGGTATGATTATGTGCAAAACACTTTCATCTTTGGTTATCACTATCTTTGGGGGAGGATCTTATCCGGCTCTGAGCAACATGGATACATGGCAAGATGATCTCAACATTCAGATGGCCCTTGTCCATCTCACCATGTTTGTACGCTTTTCTCGGGCATTGTGGTATGATTGTCACTAGGCAGCAGTACGTTCCTAATTGTCATTGTTCATATTGTTAAGCACCCCGTTAGCAGGCCAACTCCCCTCAGATTGTGATCGTACCAAACTGCCATACACACTAGCCATTGACAAAACTGTACACTGAAACCAGAGCAGGTTCATAGCAGATTTAACTTGCAGCTTGCTCCAAAAGACCTCCATGTTGAACGCTGGCACCAACATCTCAGCCACATGAACCCTATGTCCACGGACATCAATGTTGAACATGTGCCAGCCTGTGTGAACTCGTAGCACATTTACTTTCTACTCACAGGAAACTTCTGCACGCCAGTTCTGCACCAGCAACTATCACTGTCATGGCGAAGCAAGGACACTGCACTCAGAAACAAGCATCCAGCTCATGGACTGGATCCAGCATAATTTCTGGAACTTTTGCTTGCTGTCATAGTGATCACTCATTCTGAGCCTGCATGGATACTCGTAGCATTCCTGCCTTATTGCACATTACAGTCTCAGTGAAAGAAAGCAGCCTTGTATTACTATTGTTTTGTCGAGCCATTTCATGCAGACACAAAGCTAGAAAGCTTTTATGATTGTCAGCAGGCCTCAGTCCAGTCAAGGGAAATGGGACTTCACTCGGGGAATCTTGGCGCATTAAGTCAGGGGCAGCCTTCAGTTCCAGTTCAAGCCCTGCCTGAGCTAGTCGGAATTCTGTACTCAAACTGGATAGCACACCAACTGCCTTGGCTCATTCTGTTGCATTGTGGGCTGTTTTGCTCCTGGAATATGAGAGAGGCAGGTATTGTAGAAGGTGAAAGTGGGTGACAACTAATACTGTTACAGGTAGGAAGGATTCCCCAGTGAGTGAGTTTGCCATGTAGAGGGCTTTCATGGTTAGTGGTATCACGGTTTGAGGTGGGTAAAGGTGAGTGAGGAAGATGTCGTGTGCATCATTGACAGTGACAAAGCATGAGCCTTGGCAGGAGGTGGGTAGAGTATCAGAGAGCGAATGTGAAGTATTGGAAAGAAGATGGTGACACTTAGACTAGCAGAGTGGAGAAGGATATTGACCTTCTTCCTCCAGTGCTGGGCATACTTCTAGGTGGCTGAGACTGCTTCATCTTGGGTAGCAACCTCTAATCAGGCTGGCATGTCTAGTGTTGTGGCCTCCACTGCTGGTCTTGGGAGGCTTGGCAAAAGAAGAAGTTCCACCTGTGCACCATCCCATCCAGCAGGAGCTAAATGAACCATCGTGCAAAATAGAGTGCTGCTTTCCTCCTGTCTGCGTGTCCAAAGTAAATATCAGGAGTCTTGCACAGCAGCTCTCGACTGACTTTTGTCTGTGTGTATAATGGATTTTTTTAAAGATGGCGTGGGAATGAGGGATGCCGTTCAGTTCCAGGATGTTGCTTCAGGAGTAGCTCGTGGTAGTGTGGAGTAGAAATCGTACATGTTATTTGCTGTAAGGGCTGAAATGCCAATTAATGTGGGTTTGATAAGATAGAGTGAGAAAACACTCAGCTTTCAGTTATGAGAAGTATATTATCAAGCTGGAGCGGGCTCAGAAGAGACTTACTAGGATTTTGCTGAGTATGGAAAGTTTGAGTTATAAAGAAAGGCTGAGACTTTTTTCACTGGAGCGTAGGAGGTTAAGAGGCGACCTGATAGAAGTTTCTAAAATAATGAGAGGTGTAGATAGAGTTAATGGTATTTGTGTTTTCCCTCAGATGGAGGATTTCAAGACGAGGGGGCACATTTTTACAGTGAGAGGAGAGAGATTTTAAAAAAGACATGAGGCAAATTTTTTTTACACAGTGGTTTGAGTGTGGAATGAACTTCCTGAGTCAGTGGTGGATGCGGGTACAATTACAACCTTTAAAAGACATTTGGATAAGTGTGTGAATAGGAAAGGTTTGGAGGGATATGGGCCAGGAGCAGGTAGATGAGAAAAAAAAAACAAGTTGCTGGAAAGGCTTAGCAGATCTAGCAGCATCTGTGAAGAATAATCAAGCGTTAACGTTTCTGGTCCGGTGACCCTTCCTCAGAACTGTTTTACCCTTAGAAAAACATGGTTATACGGATGAGGAAGTTCCCTTCTGCCTTTCATCCTTGTTTTGATTAAGGAGATTAGGGGAAAGATATTTTCACGTATTTTGTACATAATACTCTAATTAGCTTATCTCACTTTTGATCTTGCCTTAGAGTGTGTGCCATAGCTGTGGAGCTACGTCAGATCCTTTACCTTTCACTGAGCTGGTACATTATGTCTCAATTACAGCTCTATGGTAAGTAAAATTTTGTCTTTTTCTCAGAAAAAAATGTCAATAAATAATTAAAAAATGAATTGAGCAATAAATGGCATACCTTGTTTAAATTTAGTAATCAGGTTGACAGGATGATAGAGAGGAATGAACGTCCCAGGCCAGAATCGTTTGCAGAGCTACTTCAGGCAGCAAGCACTATTGGTGACTTCAGGAATTGTCCGGTAAGAATATTTTGGGATTATACAGCATCTAGTCCTCCAATAATTGTATGACAATTGAAAATATGACTTGTGTAACTATGTACTGTTGTTTTGTCTGTTCCATTGTCTTTACCTATTGGATCTATATGTAATTGTTTAGAATCTGCATATATGTTCAGTTGTTAAGTTATGTCCTATGTCACTAGTTTTTTTTTAAGCAGCCTTTTTTTAAAATGTTGTTCATGTGCATTAATCTGCTTCCACTTTTTTCTGAGTTTCAGACTCATTTTGATCCCCATACTGGTCTTGGCATAGGACACTTTGCATGAAAGTTACTCAGACATAATTTGGTAACAGATTATTTGCATCATCTGTTTCTTTAAGGCTTAAACATGCAGATCAAATTCTGGGTGCAGGAGTCCTGTATCTCATCTGTACAAGGGACGAGTGACTACTGCCATTTAGTGCTCTTTCTAGGCATCTCTGTCTACTGCCTGAAGTAGGCTAATCTATTAAAATACGTAACAGTGCTCTGCTGTTTCTAGACCCTTCCACAAACTTGTTTGAAAGTCTGGATGGTGCAAACAGTACATACAGTGCACCCATCCACAATATTGCTCTGGCTGCTCTGGGGGCACTCGTACAGCCTCATCCCACTGTCTGGTACTCTTGCAAGTCTTTTGTCCAGGTCCCAATCTTTTCATCCTGAGGCTTCGTTTCTCCAACCCTTCCCACCCACCAGCACTCAACTCTGGTCTTAATCGCTCAGCCTCCACCAATACTGCACACCCTCCTGGATTTTAACCTATAATAATGTGGCTTCTAGAGTTTTTTTATAATTTGTTGATGGAATGTGGACATCATTGGCATTTATTGCCCATTCCTAATTGACCAGAGGTAAGTTAAGAGTTAACCTTGGGGCTCTTGTGATATAGTGGTAGTGTTCCTACCTCTGGGACAGAAGGCCTGGGTTCAAGCCCCACTTGTTCCAGGTACGTGTCATGTCATATCCGAACTGCTTGACTAAAACAAAAAAAGTTAACCTCCATATTGCTGTAGGTCTAGAGCCATGGGTAGGCTAGACCAGATAAGAATGATAGATTTCCTTCCCTAAAGGACATTAGGGAACCAGATGGGTTTTTACAGCAATTAACTATGGTTGCACAGTTGTCGTTAGGGTAGCTTTTCATTGAATTAAAATTTCACCATCTGCCTTAGTGGGATTTGAATCCACGTTTCCAGAGTATTAGCTTGGAGTTCTGAATTACTTTCCAGTGACATTAGCAGCTCCCTATATCTCGAGGTCGGGACTAATAATCCAACAAATGGAATTTTGGATCTCACCATGTCTGTTTGATGGTTTAAACCTACATTTTAAATGGAAGATGTGACAGTGAATCTATTGGATTGTCTGTTGAGAAGGAAAGCTGTCGTCCTTACCCTGTCTGTTTTAATTTTAGGAGCAAATAACTGCAGATGCTGGAATCTGTATTGAAAACAAAAAATGCTGGAAATCACAGCGGGTCAGGCAGCATCCATGGGGAGAGAGCAGGCTAACGTTTCGAGTCTAGATGACCCACTGATCTCCAGCATTTTCTGTTTTATTTTTAATTTAGAACAGCAGTCAGTTTCCAATTTTACACATTAAAGCAAAATATTGATGCTGAAATTCTGAAATAAAAACAGAATGCTGGAGAAACTCTGGTCTAGAAGCTTCAGTCGAGAGAGAAACAAAGTTAATGTTTTGAGTCTGAAGTCTTCAGAGAAAGAGTCTTGAGGCTCAAAACTTTAACACTTCTCACAGACATTTTTGAGTTTCTTGAGCATTTTCTGTTTATATTTGACATTTTACTTATGCCTGACCCTTGGTTTACATATTTGATTGGAATATTTGATTATTACTCCTAGGATACTGGCATCTTCATGGTTTTGCCCTGAGGTTATATTAAACATAGAACAGTACAGTAAGGGTACAGGGCTTTCAGCCCATATGCCTGCACGTGGTCAATAAATTCTTTTGAGACAATGAGAAAGAAGAACCCAGTGGAGTTCAAGCACTGCAGTGGACTTGTGAAAATTCGGGTATCCGTAACTTATCTTGCTTATTTTTTAATGTCAGTGGGGTGTAGTTTTATCTAATCATAGTTTACCTGAGTGTGCAAGATCTAATGGTAAAATGTGACGAAGGGGCATTGATAGCAAGCGTGAAACCCTCTGTGGAAAGTCCTTTAAAGTTGGAGAGTTCGGAGGTTCCCGCTCACTCAAGCTTAATATTTGTCTGGGAGTAGGTTTTCAATGCTCTCACTTTTCCTGAGTAAGTATTAACACTGAACCACTGACCACTCCATTGGCATTAGCCATTGACCTTTCCTAAGCATTTATCCACTTTCCACCTGACACCTTATTCCCAACCCCCCTGGCACGTGAACCTTTCCCCAATGTTGTCAGTGATTTTGGAACCTTTAAACAGTATGACTCCTGAAATGTAGACTATGGGGAAGAGGGTGGTGTTTGAGTGTTTCTTGACCTGCAACGCTGGTCTAGTGTTCTGGTTGTCTACCTGATTTCCTCTGAAAGACAAATTTGGGGACAGGCCAGACTTGGAAATCTGGCTGGAAAAGTCCAGCAGCAGGTAATCTTTGAGGATTACCTCTGATTGAGTCAGTTCCTGTCGTCCTGGGAAAATCTGAATTTGTATTTTACAGAAGTTCACTTTTTAATGCAACTTCCTTTTTATTTAGTGTTGATTCAGAGTTTGCTATGATCTACTATGAAGCAAGTTTTTTTCAAATATTTTGATGCAGCTGGGATCCTGTCAATGTGTGAGCCAGAAATTCAAGATCCTGTTGGTTGATCCTTCCTTATTCATTCTGCAAGAATTTTCTATGATTGTAAATATATTTGTAAATGCTTCTGTCTGCTGACATACAACTTTAACATGTTAGCACAAACAGTTTGCAAGTTGATTGTAGATGTATTGGAGATTTTCTCTCTTCATTCAGAGTAATTGTGGGCAGAAGATAAAGATCAGACGTGTGCTAATGAATTGCCCAGAGATTGTCACCATTGGTTTAGTATGGGATTCTGAGAATTCCGATCTCACATCAGATGTGATTCGATATTTGGCACCTCAGCTTTTTCTCCCTGGAGTAAGTTTCATTGTCTTATTTCTAATTATTGATTAAATGTGCAATAGAAAAGTGTCCATACTTATAAAAACTGTTCATTAAGCTGTCTTCTGACTAGTTTAATTGCCTTTTGCAAGTCCATGCTTATAATCTGGTAAAGTACCTATTCTAAACTGACTGAAATTGTACACTTGTTACCTAGAAAAGTCTGGCATTGTTTCGTGGTGGCAGCTGAAAGCTTTTCACTGTATTTTATTGTATTTTTACTATAAAATACACGTGGCAATAAAAATCAAAATCAATTTAACTTTCATTAGCTGTTATAAGGCTTTTGAGTACCTCTATTGAATTAAATGTAACATTTTAAAGATTTTTGTTTATGGGTCACTCAATCTTTTGGTATCTTGTGACCTTTGCAGTATGTTTCATCAACAAAAGAAGGTGAGCCACTTGCTGTCAGTTGATTCATTAAACCTCCTGGTAGGAACATAAAAACAGGAAGTGGGCCACTTAGCTAATTGAGATAATGGTTGATCTGTGACCTAATTTCATATGCTTATCTTTTACCTTATCGCTTAATACCTTTTAGATAACAAAAATCCATCCGTGTCAGATGTGAAATTAGTAATTGACTGCAGTTTGTGGAAAATAATTCCAAATATTTATCATCCATTACATATAGAAGTATTTCCAATTCCTGAAAGATCTGACTTCAATTTTTAGGATATGTCCTGTAGTCCTAGTTAGCTCAAATGGCAGAAATAGTCCCTGTCTATTCAGTCTCCCTCAAATCTTGCATTCCAGGAAATAATGCAATCTCAAATTAAGCTTGGAGTCCAGGATGTTGACCCATCTGCTTTGGGTGGAGAGTGGAATGGGGGAGGAGAACCTACACTTTGTTTTGATATGAGGGATTCTTTAAGAACAAGGTTTCCGAGGCTTCAGTTTACAGTACAATTACCAACGTTCATCATGTTTTTGATATCTTTAATGTAACTGACTACTTAGAACAGTGTGTTATGTTCATGTACTTTTGATTTTGGTGCAGTCAAATTCTTTTGTTTTAAACGGTGCATCTTGTGGTTTTATTCTTTTAATAAACACCTGAGTTTTCTTATTCCACAACAACAAAATAAACACATTACCAGCCTCTACCTAGATCATAACACCAGGTATCATTCTTTTAACTTTACACTGACCTTGAAGGGAAGCAGATTACCTTTCTCTTTTTGGTATGGTGCCCAGAATCGAATACTGCATTCCAGGTATGATCTAACCAGGGCTTGTGTACCTGCAGCATGACTTGTATATCCTTTCATTCTAGTTTTCTAAATATGACCACACATTCCATCAGCCATTTCGATTATATTTTGTACCTGTCCATGAAATTTTTGGTCTAGGTACACAGAATACTGAGCCTCTCTGGTCTTGCACTGCTTCTAGCCCTTTACCATTTTGAAAGAATTCTATTATATTTAGGTCCAAGTGGAAATCTCATCTGTAACCTGTATGGAAATCCATTTGCCACAATTTTGCTCCTTCATTTAATCTATTAATATCACTTAAAATTTTATCCCTCCAATTACACTGTTTATAATTCTGTCAACCTGTACGTCCTCAGCGACCTTGTGTGTACCTCTCCATCTCGTCTATGTAATTAACAAATGCAGTAAATAGTTGAGTTCATAGTATATATCACTGTTCATTGCCACTGGTCGCAGGTGGATAATTGAAGTGGCTTTTGTCGATGTGTGTCAAATGTTGTTTGACAGTGTTTCACTCCATTAAGAGCTCTGTACAAATGCAGGTGGTTGTGGTTGAATTAAAATCAAAATTTCTTTCTATCCTAAATCTTGTTCTAGTCTGCAAACAAAATCTGAAGTTTCTTTGTCAGTTTGTTAAGCCTTACACTGATTTCCTTAAATTGCTTCTTCCTGATTGCTTGGCCACATGTCAAGACCAGTCCTGAAATTATTTAATTGGAAGTCCAGATTTTTAATGAAGCACTTAACTTGTTGAACTTTGAAAGGGTTCCATATTGCTGTGGTTCGTTTGCTCGCCGAGCTGGTTCGTTAGTTCACAGACGTTTCATTACCCTGCTGGGTAACATCATCAGTGCAGCCTCCATTGTGTTTTCCCGCCTGGTATTTAAACTCTGGGGTCCGTTGGAATTGGTTACCTCATTTCTGGTTTTTCTTCACTGTAGTGTATATACAGAGTCTAATTCTACATGTTTATTGATGGCCTTCTTGGTGGAGAACCAAGCCTCTAGAAATTCCCATACTTGTCTCTGTTTGTCTGGCCTGTCCTAGGATCTTCATGTTGTCCCAATCGAACTGGTGGTTCTCCTTATCCGTGTGAATGGAGACGAGTGACTACTGGTCATGTCTTTTTGTTGCTAGTTGGTGGTCATATATTCTTGTGGCCAGTTTCCTTCCTGTCTGTCCAATGTAATGTTTGTCGCAGCCTTTGCATGGGATCATGTATACCACATTGGTTCTGTCCATAGTGGGTAAGGGGTCTTTCGTTTGAGTTAGCAGTTGGCATAGGGTTGACATGGGTTTATGTGCCACTCTGATGCCCAATGGTCTTAGGAGTCTCGTGGTCTATTCGGATATGTTCTTGATGTATGGTAACATGATGAGTCTGTCAAGGCGTACTGTACCTTCCCGTTTGTTGTTTGTGTGATAGCATCGTCGAACCCAGCTGTTCGGGTATCCGTTGTCCTTAAATACTTCGTAGAGGTATTCTTCATTTTGGCGTAGTTCCAGGTTGCTGCAGTGTGTTGTCACTCACTTAAGTAGTGTTTTTACGCAACTCTGAGTGTTGGAGTGGTTGCTGTTGAAATTCAGGACTTGATCCACATGTGTGGCCTTTCTGTGTACCTTTGTCAGAAATTCCCCATTGGCCATGACGTCCAGGAATGGGAGCTGTCCATTCTTTTCTTCTTCCCTGGTGAATTTGATGCCGGTGAGACTGTTGTTTATAAGTTGGTGTGCTCCCTCTAGTTTAGTCTGTTTGATGATGACAAAAGTGTTGTCCACATATCTGATCCATAGTTTAGGTTGGATCTGCAGTAGGACTATGCTTTCAACTCCGCATCACCGCTTCTGCTATTAGTCCGGAGATATGCTACCCCATGGGTGTCCCGTTGATTTGTTCATAGATTTGACCATTAAAGATAAAGTGGGTTGTGAGGCACAGGTCCAGTAACTTCAGCATGTTGTCTGTGGAGATGGCGTCACTCAGGTCTCATACTTTTTTAGAAGTGTTGCCAGTGTTTCTCTTGTCAGTGGTAAGTCAATCGATGTGTGAATAGGACAGTAATGTCAACGGGCAGCATCTCGTCTATTCTTAGTCTTTGAGGGAACTGAGGAACTCCTGGGCTGAGTGGATTGAGTAGGGTGACTTACTGACAAGGTGCTTTAGTCTCCTTTGTAATTCCTTGTCTAACCTGTATGTTGGTGTGCCTTGGAGGGAGACTATGGGTCTGAGAGGTATTTCCAGTTTGTGTACTTTTAGGAGGCATAAGAATCAGAGGGTGTTTGTCTCTTCAGATTTCATTTTTAGGTGATTGTTGATTTGTCTGGTCTGTTTGAGTCTCTTTAGCGTGTTGATTATTTTATCACTCAGTTGTAGTGTCGGGTCTATTTGCACTTGCCAGTATGTATTCGTGTCTGTGCTTTAGTGAGGTAGTCCCGTTCGTTAGTATTACCGTCATGCGCCCTTTGTTTCCTGGTAAGATTATGATGTTTTTGACTTTTCTCAGTCCTTCTAGGGCCTTTTCTGATATGTTAAAAGTGTTAAATTTGTTCCTTCTGGTCAGTGTCGGGACCACCGTCTGTCTCATAGCTTGTTGTGTTTCCTCATTGATGCCGTTGGTCTTCAGTGTGGAGTCTAGTGTGGCTAGAAACTCTGTCCTGTTAGCATCTCTGTGGTTGTAGTTGAGTCCACGTATTAGAACAGCTTTCTCTGTGTCTGTTAGTGTCCTGTCTGAGAGGTTTCTTACCCAAGTGTCTGATCTTTTGGTTGTTGTTTTGGTGGGTTGGTTTGGCTAGTTTTTCTTGTAGGATCTGTCTTTTGTTGGTTCTTGTTGTTTGTTGACTGATGTTAAAGGCTCTTTCTAAGTCTGTTGTCCACTCTAGGTTGGTTGCATCTAGGAATAGGGTTTTTTGCCATGTAATTTCCCTGTCGTATCTGTGGAGCCGGTTGTGTGTGTTGTTAATCATTACCTTTACCATTCTGTGGCCATTGTGTTCTGCTGTCCTATGTGTCTGTCAGTTGTTGATGGGAGGTTTGTATCTAACACTGCGCAGTAATACCTGGTTCCTGAGGCATCCATGCAGGAAGTGGAGTTGCTCACGGATAGCACTCTGTCGTTTGGCGTAGGTTTCCCATTTCTGGGCCAATTTGAGCATGCTGTGCCCGAAGGTGTCTAAGGTTCTTGAGTAGATTTGTAGCTTGGGTTGTAGTTACTGTGGTTGTTTCGCTCGCTGAGCTCTTTCATTAGTTCGCAGACCCCTTGCCCACTATGGACAGGACCAATGTGATATACAAGATCCCATTCAAAGGCTATGACAAACATTACATTGGACAGACAGGAAGGAAACTGGCCACAAAAATACATGAATACCAACTAGCAACAAAAAGACATGACCAGTAGTCACTCGTCTCCATTCATACGGATAAGAAGAATCGCCAGTTCGATTCGGACAACATCAAGATCCTAGGGCAGGCCAAACAGACAAGCACGGGAATTTCTAGAGGCTTGGTTCTCCACCAAGAAGGCCATCAATGAACACGTAGAATTAGACTCTGTACATACACCACTGCAAAGAAAAACTGGAAATGAGGTAACCAATTCCAATGGACCTCAGAGTTTAAACACCAGGCAGGAAAACAACAGCGCTTCATCGGAGGCTGCACTGATGATGTTAACAGCAGAGTAATGAAACATCTGCAAACTAATGAACCAGCATCTACAACCCGAGTTACAAATCTACTCCGCTCCCATTGATTCACATTGTGAACCATGACTTCATGTTACTTACTGTCCCTTTCAGAAATTCTATTTGCTTTATTACAGGTGTCCCTCACCTTGTACCTTAGAATTTCAGAAATACAACCACTTTCTGTCGAACCTTCGAACTGCGAATTGCACTTTGTTCCAGCATTTTTCTCGTATGTTTTCCTATACTCTTTTCCCTCCTTATTGCTTGGCTTGTGGTACATTGAAGTTGCTTATGCTTTTCCCTTCTGGATATCATTTATTTAGTACAGTAAATAAAATAGCTTTAGATCTCCAGTGAATATATTTCCTTCACCCCCTCCATTTTCAATGAATTACATTCTCCAACTGGGGTGGCTCAGTGGTTAGCATTGCTGCCGCATAGCACCAGGGACTCCAGTTTGATTCCAGCCTCTGGCAACTGTCTGTGTAGAGTTTGCACGTTCTCCCCATGTCTGTGTGAGTTTCCTCAGAGTGCTCTGGCTTCCTCCCTAAGTCCAAAGATGTGCAAGTTAGGTGGATTGACCATACTACATTACCCATAATGTTCGGGGATCTGCAGGCTGGGTGGATTAGCCATGGGAAATGCAGGAATAGCGTAGGGGAGCTGTATCTGGATGGGATGCTCTTTGGAGGGGTCGGTGTGGACTCAATGGGCCAATGGGCCAAATGTCCTGCTTCCGCACTGTGGGGATTCTAACTTGTAGCCAGCTTTGTCTCTTCCTCTGTCTCTCAATACTGCTGTAGCTCTATGATAACCAGTACCTGTGCTGAGCGCTTGACAGTCATCTTCCTTCTATAGCTCCATATCACATTGTTTTGTCATAATAATTGGACTGCTGAGCTCCACTTAAAACCAAGTTTTTTTTTGGCTTACTGGACTGCTCCCTCGTGGTTACTTTTAAGTGGAAGTCTTGACTGCTGTCTCTCCAATCTCTTTTTAATCTCATCATCACCTTCCATTCACTGAGAAATATCTAGTGTGCCTGCCTCAACACAATTCTGCTGAAATCAGTACTTGGATTGGTGCAAGATTAAAGACCTAAGCTCAAGTCTAACATCTCTGCAAGAAAATATTAGTTTTCACCTTTTACTGAAGGTGTTACACTAGTTTATACCATTGTATATCTGTACCAATCAATAAAGGAATTTTAAAGTAGAAACACTGTGTACCATTGTAAGGTTGTTGTTGGAGAAGCTGAATCTTTTATGCTGATATGTTTACTTAAATTGTTTCAAATAATTTCTACAAAGTCTGAAATAGTTTTTTATTCTTTGGTTTGGAATAAACTTTGTCATTTTGTTAGGAGTATATTGACAACCTCTTATGAATATTTTCAGTGACTACCACTAGTTCAGTTGGCAGTTATAAAGGCAAATGCAATTTTAGCATGCATTTCAAGGGCTAGAACACAAGACCAGCAATGTACTGCTGATAATGTATAAGGCTCTGGTCAGACCATACATGATATATTGTGTGTTGCTTTGGGCCTGATTTCTAAGGATGGATGTGCTGGTCTTGGAGGAGGTCTAGAGGAGGTTTACAAGATTGATTCCAGGGATGAAGGCTTGTCATATGAGGAGCATTCGAGAGGACCCTAGGTCTGTACTTGATTTGAGTTTAGAAGAATGAGGGGGAGTTTTATCATTGAAACTTTTAAAAAAAAAAAAAAAAAAAAAAGCCCAGGTGGACATGATGATTCCACTCATAGCAGAGACTAGGACCCAGTGGCACAGCCTCAGTGAGGGCATGACCCTTTAGAACTGAGATGATAAGGAACTTCTTCAGCTAGAAGGTGGTGAATCTGTGGAACTCATTGCCACTGAAGGCTGTGGAGGCCATGCCACTGAGTGTTTTTAAGACAGAAATCATTTGATTCTTGATTAGTAAGGGGATGAGAGGTTATGGGGAGAAGGCAAGAGAATGAGTTGAGAAACATATCAGCCATGATCAAATGGCAAAACAGACTTGATTGGTCAATTGGCCTAATTCTGCTGTTATATCTGATAGTCTTATGGACTTAATTCAGGAATCTGATCATTCGTTCTTTCAGCTGTAAACATAATTAAATCCACCCTGCATTTTCTGTTTGTCTCGATTTTAATGGTCAAAATGTAGCCGAAATACTCTGTGTACATTATAATAGACTTTCTGGTGTTGATAAGGAATTCCTGCTTTAGGGAATAGATAGAGTGGACTCCCAGAAATAACATCGAAGATGTGAAGGACACTCATTGGGAAGGGTATTACATTGTTAAAAGAAATTAACTTTATGCTTTACATAGCACTCGATTCGATACTTCAAATTTAACTACATAAATCTTGTATTGGTGAGATCTATATGGTTTATCCCTAATATGTAACATGGGTAGAGAGAAGTTTTGTTAAAAATCTAAACATATATTAATATTCCTTTTAAGAGGAAATAAAGCATAAAACTTCACAATTAAAAATATGCAATGATTAAGCTTCATTAATGTGCATTTTTTTTTAAAAGCTTTTCTTCCAAGCAACTGATGAACGGGCTAAGAGAAGTGAATTGGTTCTTGTTGGAATGGTATGCTATTCCAGCAGACACTATTGCACCTTTGCCTTTCATACAAAAAGCTCCAAGTGGATTTTCTTTGATGATGCTACAGTTAAGGAGGTGAGCTTTAAATTAATAATTTGTGTATATGTTGGTGCATCCAATTTCTATGATGCACCATTTTGCTGTTTGGATTACTTTTTAAAAAAAAAAAGAAGACAGTGAAGATTTTTAAATCCTTTTTGGGTGAATATGGGAACAAAATTATATATGTCAGTAAGGATTGAACAAGCACATGCTTCTTTCTCTTGAAAAGGGAAAGTTGAGGAGGTGAACAATAGAGCATTAAAATTTATTGGCAGCTAAAGAACAGTTGGTCCCCTGAGTCTGCCTCAAAAAGTTTGGATTTGATAGGAAACCATGATGTGGAAAAGGCAATGCTTGAGATCATACGTATAATGTAGTCATTAATAGATCTGTTGTAATTTATGAGGAACTTTTCTCAGCAATAGTATTTAGAATGTGATATTTGCTACTACAAGGAGTAGTTGAAATGAATAGATTGGTTAAATTAATCCAAAGGTTGGATAACCATTTGACTCGTCATAGTGAATTAATCACACGGACAATCTCAAAGTGGAGAACCACGGGTCTGTCATATGTGATGCATGTTTTATGACATTACCGCAATAACTCCTCCCAATCAACGAGAACTTCGATTTACTGTCCCTGAGCTACACTTATTACAAAGACTTCTGACACCATTCGTTTGACCTAAAACGGGAATAACTATTTATTACTAATGACAAGTACTTTACAAAAATCTAAGGATGGCAATCATACAAACTCTTAAAATCACTAACAAACTATTCGGACTATTAGTCTAAAATCCCCTTTTCCCCAAGCCAGTACTTAAACCTGACAGCCAGGACAACAAGTTGCTATTGAAGGTTAGATGTTAGGTGAAAGAGAGAAAAGTGGTAAGGAAATTGGCTGGACTCAGTATTTGAATATCAGGCTAGCAGTTCCAACTTCTGAATATACTAAAGCCATTTGAGCAGCTCTGCAGTAGTTTGGTGAATAAAGAGTGGAAACCTTTGAAAGAGGTACTGAGTTAGGTTCCTTCTTCTGGGCAGTCTCCTCATGGTAACCTATGAGGAATGAGAAACAATCTTCCAGTCGACCTTTCTTGCTCCAGTCATGGTTAATGACCCCATGGTTCCCTACGAATCGGGCAGTCAAGGTGCTTCTCCTGTCAAGAGCAATCCTTTCTCGGACCTCAATACTCAAGTTGTAGCTGTTGACTCCCACATGTGGCTGCTGCAGAGTTTGGCTTTACAACTCCAGCTGTTCAGTTAAAAGCTACGTTACAACTAGGTCTGTTATGTATGATGTATGTAAGCTATTTCAGTTTTTAAAAAAATATTCGTCTGATAGGTTGGATCAAAGTGGAAAGATGTGCTTTCCAAGTGTGTCCGAGGTCACTTCCAACCCCTGCTGTTGTTTTATGCTAATCCCAATGGTTTGCCGGTCAATATGGAGGATGTAACAATTCACAACCTACAGTCTGCTCACTGTAGAACAGATGGAGAGGATTCAGGTGAGTTTACACCTTTTAAAAAAAGACTTGCTTTTAAATTTTTAATTTAAGTCTTTATACCCATGTCAAGTATCGTAACTTTTTAGATTCTATTTGTAATTCATCACGGTTTGTCTATCATTTATTTTATGTTGTGTAAACTGGCAGATGTATTTGCCAATGAGCAAGTGCTCTTATTTGTATGTTATCTTATCCATTGCAGTAATTCTAGAAGTGTATTAATTGGGAATTAGTACCAGCAGCTCTTGTTTTAAAATATTTGTTAAATGTCAGCTTGAATTTGTGATTGCAATCTTAACCCTGAGCTAAAAGACCTCGTCCACTCCAAAACTACTTAAAGCCAACACTTCAGTGCGGTCCCTACTAAGTGCTGCAGCGCTAGAAGTGTCAGGTTTCTTTAAACTAAAGTCCAGCATTCATCAAAGGTTGATGTAATGGATCCAGTGCAACTTTTCCAAAGAAAAGCAGTTTTTTTTTCTTCCCAGTTTCCTGTCCAACACACAAACATCAACACCAGCAAAACAAATTTACTCATTATTCATTTCATTGTTTATCTTGCTCCAGATCAAAATCTGCTGCTTTAATTGAAGTAGAAAGCTCAATTCAAACCACAGAAAAAGGGCTGTGTGCAGAATATTTTATTAATACATTTTATGTGGCATAATTGGCATTGGCTAAGCACATGGCAGTGGAATATAATGTGATTAATTATAAAGTTATCCACTTTGATAGAGGGAAAAGCAAAGTCATTGCATTTCTACATTGGTGAAAGACTGGAAAATGTTGATGTCCTTTATCATGAATCACTGAAAGCTACTGTGCAGCACAACAGTTAAGAAGGCAAATGGTATGTTGGCCTTCATCACAAGAAAATTTGAGTAGCGAAGTAAAAATCCCTTGCAGCTATTGTATGCGGTATCAGTGATAACACATCTGGACTATTCTGTACTTTTGCTCTATGTACCTGAGCAAGGGTATACTTGCCAGAGAGGGAGGACAATGCAGGTTCAACAGACCCAATTCCTGGGATGGCAGGATTGCTTTAGAAGAGATTGATGTAGCTGGGCTTGATTTATCACAGGTTTAGAATAATGAGGTGATCTCTTGGAAATGTGCAAAAATTTTAAAGGAGTGGACAGTACATGTAGAAAGGAAGTTTCCTCTGATTATAGACTCTAGAAACCGAGGACATTGCCTTTTATTTTAAGACTATCGATATAGGACCAACCTAAGGAATTTCTTCACTCAGTGTGAAGAATCTCTGGAATTTTCTACCCTAGAGGCCAGTAGAAGCTTGAATCACTGAGCATATTCAAGATAGAAATTGACAGTTATATGAAACTAATGACATCAAGGGATTTGAAGATGGTGTGGGGAAAGTAGCATTAAGGAAGCTGAACCATTTTCTAACTTAATACTGGAGCAAATTTGATGGCTTGAATGGCCTACTCCTGCTCTTATGTTGCTTCCTGATTAAAGAAGAATGACAAATTTTACTGAACTGCATTTTGGACATATGCCTAATCTACTTGATCTCTCCCAGGAATCACCTAGTGAACCATTTGCATGTATACCCTCTTAAGGTTCGTGTATCCTTCCTTTGGTAAGGAGTCCAAAGCTATAAACAGTACTCCAGTTTTGGTCTCATGATCATCAACATTTTCTGTAAGACTTTATTGCTGTCATCTTTTAATCCTTTGCACTAAAGATCACCAAACCACTTACTTTGCTAGGTGCTTGTTGTGTTCTATTAATTTTCTTCTTAGATACTTATATCTTGGAATCTTGAGTTTGCATCCAGGAATACACAGATTCTTCTAGCAATACTTTGCCAGCTTCTGTCAACTTAAAAAAAAAAAAAAATAAACACTTTTCTATATTCCCTTCCAGTGCTGGAAGTACATACAGTCAGTGGGCAAATTCATCCCCAAAGTCACCAAGCACTTAACAAATTTCAGTTGCTTGGATGACCAGTCAGAAAAGAGAGGCCCCTTCCACCATTAAATGAAAGGGACAGAATCTAATCATTGACTGGTTCTTTCTTGCATTTGGTGCTGGTAGACTCAAGCAGCAGCAATCATCAGAAAGAACCGGCCTGTGATTACAGTAGCAATTAGGTGAATGGCAGCAAGATTGGAGGAAATGTGGTTCGCCAAGGCCAAACTAGAGGAAGCAGGAGAAAGTGGTTCATGAAGCTAGGGTCCTGGGGAGAGAACAGTTTTTGATTTTCAACTATTCAATATTCAGCTAACTGAGAACCAGGAAAATTGAGTTAACAAGTTCCTTGTCAATTAATTTCTAGTTTGTGGCTGAAGAAGTTCACGGGATGTTGTCTGTGCAGGGTTGAATGAATTTGATGTTATTGTAATGAACACGCAATTGGGTAATTTAATATTGAAGAGGCTTTTTCAAAGAATCACATTTACATGTTATGGCATCTCAAGGAGTCTTGCGCAGACAGAATCACTTGAATTACCGGTACAGTGACAAAACATGCAACCGTTGGTTTCTCCGATCTGCAGAATGTGGGATTAGGATGTTGGCTAATTTTTGTATAGAATTGTGTCCCTATTTTTGAGAAGGAAAATTACGTTCGTTGCTAACTAGTACCTGTTGTCTTATGCCGATTCAAATAGGCTGGCATGTAGGGAATTAATGCTTTCCTTGTGTGCTGTGGTTTCAGTTTTAATGGAGCAGACATGATTATTGTGGTTGTTGATGAGTTCTTACAATATGTAAACACAAATTCAGAAGTGATGTTACTACACATGGGTGCATCAACTAAAAGTGTGGAGTAGTAATAGCAGAGCACAACCTCTGAGTCAGGGGGCTCAGGTAAAAGCCCAACCTACTGCAGAGATGTGAAATGACATCCCTGAACAGGTTAATTAGAAAATCTCACTTAAGGAGTTGGTGAGAATGAAATAGGAATCACTGAAAATCTAAAAATAGCAGCCAGAATTTAAAAGGTAGGGCCCAGGAAAATCTCAAGAGTAGCCATTTCTTTTTGGGGTGGGGGGGAAAAATTGACATTTGCCAAATGACAAACAATACCCAGCCCATCTGACTGTGCGAATAGTGGAGGGGGTGGTGGCATGGTGGTAATGTTACTAGCAAGTGAACCAATGGTTCAGGCTAGTGTCCTGGGTTTGCAAGTCCAAATCTCATGATAGCAATTGGTGAAATTCAATTAACTAGTCTCGATAATGATGACCATGAAACTATCCTCAGTTGTTGTAAAAAGTAATCTCTATGGAAAGAAATCTGCCCTTTTTGCTTGGACTGATCTACATTTGACGCAGCAGTTTGGTTGATTCCTAAATGGTCCACCAAGCCACTCTGTTCGAGAAGGTGACTCATCCCTCGTTACCCCTGAGAAAATGATGGTGGGCTGCTGTCTTGAACCAGTGCAGTCCATTTGATTTAGATAGAAACTCAATGATTATAGGGAGGGAATTCCAGAATTTTAACCCTCGCACATGGAATGCAGCATTTTTTTAAAAAAATTGAAGCAGGTGTAGGCCTTTCAGCCCCTCCAGCCTGCCCTGTCATTCTGTTAAGATTTAGTTGATCTGCCTAAGTTTCTCTTCTGTACCATCTCTTAACCCTCAACTCCTTGGTATTTCCAAAATCTGTCTCTTTAAATACTTTCAGTGATCTAGCATCACAACTGTATGGCTTAGTGAATTCCAGCTACTCACTACTCTGAAAAGAAATCTTTTCACACCTCCGTTTTAAATGAATGCCCCGTTAGTCTGTAACTATGCTCCCTAATTTCAGATTTCTCCAATGTTCACACACAAGAATACATTCCTCTGTGCTGTATGTTTTTAGAATCTCTGTCGATCTAAATGATAGTCTTGCTTTTTGATTCTTCCTCCCAAAGTACGTCACCCCTCACTTTCTGACATTAAGCTCCATCTATCAGGTTTATGCCCTCTTGCTCAACCTTACAGATTCCTGATGTTCTCATCATAACGTGCCCTCCCACCTATTTTTATGTTACAAATGTGAACACATTATACTTTGTTTCTCCTCCATATCATTAATATAGATAGTAAATAACTGAGGACCTAGGACTAATCCTTGTGCTACTGGGTGAGATGCTGTTCGGACAGTCAGTATAGACTTGATGGGCCAAAGACTGCTTCACTGTAGGGATTCTATGAAGGAATAGTGATTAAATTTTCAAGTTAGGATGATGGGTGGCTTGAAGGGCAACTTGCAGTTGGTGGTTTTTTCCATGTGTGTACTGCCTTTGACCTTCTAGATGCTAGATGTTTTGGGTTTTCAAGCTACTGTCCAAGGAGCTTTGTTGAATTTCTGCAGCGCATCTCATAGATACTACATGCTGCTGCTACTGAGTGTTGGTGGTGGATGGAGTGAAAATTTGTGAATGTTCTGCCAATCAAGCAGGCTACTTTGAATTGGCTGGTGTCAAGCGTTTTGAGTGAGGAGGATTCCATCACACTCCTGACTTATACAATTGCTCAATGGGCTTCGAGGAGTCAGGACATGTGTTACTTGTTGCAAGATTCCTAGCTTCCAACCTGCTGCTGTAGGCACAATATTTACATGGCTAATCCAGTTTAGTTTCTGTTTAATGGTAACTCCCAGGATGTTAATATTCTGCAGGAAATAACTCCTCTTCTGTCTCCCAATGCCTGGATGGGAGACTGTGACAATATTCTAGATGCTGGATACCAGTTAACAAAATGCACTGCATTTGCCAACACCCTTCCAACATCACCTTCCAAAACTGTAATCCCTGCCACCTAGAAGGACAAGGGCAAAAGACACGTAAAATCATCACTACTTACAAGGTTTCCTCCAAGACCCCCACTATCCTGATTTGGAAAGGATATCGCCATTACTTCACCGTCACTGGTCAAAATCCTGGAACTCTCTCCCACATCACTCAGTGTTCCGCATTATAAGGATTGTAATGGTTCAAGAAGACAACTGACCACCATTGTAATTAGGGATAGGCAGTGAATCATGGCTGAGCCAGCAAAGACCAAAGCCCGTGAATGAATGGAAAACACTTTGTATGTCTGATTACATGCATTGTTACGTGAGATCATTGCTACTTCATTTAAGGAGCAAAGATTAAAGCTCAGAAGTGAACCTTGTTTAAAATTAGAGAGGAAATTCAGTTGGTGTGCATAATTTGCTGAGGTTAATTTTCATCAACTTTGCCTGGTGCCAACAAAGCAGTAGTTGCTTCAAGTTGAGGTCAGAAGCCTTGCATATCATTTCATTAATGCTGACAATGGTAGTGAAAAATCCTGAAGTCAGACAGCTTTATTCTTGCATCTAAACTGAATATGCATATTTTATCTAATAGAAAAAGAAATGCAAATATCTGCTGCCAGATTGATTGACCACGTAAGGGAAGGTGGAACCGAAGGCCAATTGTCAAAAACAAGTCACCAGAAAATGCCTCCAAAACAACCATCTAATACTAAAGGAGGCTTCCAGAGGGGTTTCATTCAAGATAGTCGAGGTCGAGGGCTAAGTAAGTATAATTTATTTATTTTGATACTATTTATTTTCAACTTGTATACTCTGGCAGCCCTGCCTATTATCATTAATAGAGTTTTGCAGCACTATAAAGCTAATTTATTTCTACGTTCCCAAATTTTCTGGAGTGTTTGGAAATTGCTCACTGAACTCTTAGTTTTTCTTCACTGGGGATTTTAAAATGTACATTTTTAAATACAGTTTAACATTCTTGGCCTCAAATGTTGTTGAGCAATTTCATTAGGCCTCACTGGCTTCTTACACTACAAAATGTAACTAGTACATGACGAGTGGCTGTGCTTTGTTTAGTGACCAATGGGAATCAGGAATACTTAATACTACCCATTGTCCAGCAATATACTAATTTGTTCTTTGTGGTTTGTTCATCTTCATGCATTTTGAAGTTTCAGGATTACTGGCTATACTGGATCCAACTCTCCAGATCCTTCTGAAGAAGGGTCACTGGACCCGAAACATTAACTCTGCTTTCTCTCCACAGATGCTGAGTTTTTCCAGAAATATTTTTTTCTGATTTCCAGCTTCCACAGTTCTTTTTCTCCAGATACTTTGATTCGTTGCTTTTTGATATTGTTAGTACCCTTATTTATAATGTATGTTCTAGTGATTGTTAAATATGTTTAGGATTCTAAATGTCTAGCTCATGCAGTTTCTTATCCCACTAACCTGAAAGGAATTTATTGAATTTGTATCAGATAGCTATGTTCAAATTTTCTCCAGTGCTTTGTTTTCATTTGTAGTACAAGTTTTCACTCATTTTTTAGCTCTGTAATGTAAAAGAGTTCCATGATGTTTCCTTAAATCTGCCAAGAAATTTTAGGCTATTATATTCATATGATTTTTTTTGTTCAGCGAAGTGAATGAAAATGTTTTGAACATATTAATTTGAGGTTGGAAAACAAGTGTTGAAGTTGCATAGTTTAAGATAGTAATTGTAACATAACTAAAAGACCTTGGACCCAATTAGCCTTTTGCTGGTGTTTATCTCCTACGTGAACTGTACTTTTACTCCCTCTGCCTGTTACGTTTCATTATTCCTTCCACCATCACCTACGTATTTGACCTGTTCTCAAATGTTAACATGGTCACTATTTCAATCACTAACTTGATATCAAATTCTAGGCGTTTAACTTTGATTTTAAAAAAAAGCTTGCTGTCTTTCCTAACTCCTGCACTTAATGTTTAATATTCGTTCTCACACATTGGATGTCCGAAGTGCTGGAAACAGTCTGTTCTTCTTTATTCTGTCCCATCCTTTCATAATGTTTGACAATATGAATTGTATTCCCTTTAATATTTTTGTCAAGTGAAATCAGCCTTGACAATAAGTATTTTTTATTCATACATGTGTCTTCATATCAGGCAGTATCTTGAATGCACGTTATGCTCTCTCTATATTTCAAGGATTGGAGAAAAATGGCATGATGGTATTGTTGCTACATTGTAATCCAGAGACCCAAGTAATTTTCTGAGGACCTGAGTTTGAATCCTATTAAAGCAGATGTTGAATTTGAATTCATTAAAAATATTCAGTTAAAAATCCAATTAAGTCTATTGTAAAAACTGATCTGGTTTACTAATCTCGTTTACTAATCACCTTAGTGACTGGAAGATGGTTATCCTATCTGGTTTGTTCCAGGCTCACGCTCCACAACTACAGCGCTGTAATTGATTGTTAAGTAACCTCTAAAATGGCCTAACAAGGAACTTGTTACCTCAATTTTCCTTGTTCTCAACATGAACTCTGGGCCTCATGAAGTCTCATGGCATCAGGTCAAAAATGACAAGGAATCCTGCTGATTACCATGTACAGTCCACATCTCCACCCCGGATGACAAATCAGTACTCCGTTGAACACCAGTTAAGGAAACAATGAAGAGTGCAGAATATGGTCTAGGTGGGACACTTCAGTTTTTAAACCTGCAACTACTTCCATGTAGAAGGTCAAGAACAGTGGATACGTGGACACACTATCTCTTACAAGTTCCTCTCCAAACCAGACAGCATCCTGACTTGGAAATATATCACCGTTCATTCAGTGTTGCTGGTCGGAATCCTGGAATTACCTTTCTAAGTTCATTGTAGATCTATTTACAGTATATGGACCACAGCAGTGCGGTAATTTTGCCACCATCTTCTCAAGGACATCTAGGGATGGGCAACAAATGCTGATCTAGCTAGTGACACCCACATTCCAATGAATGAAGAATATAGAGTGGGCTTGGTAACACCACAATTGACTCAGTAAGTCAAGTCCTAAAGAACATAGCTGGTAGATAGGTCTGTGGCATTTGGTTAATGAACCAGCAAGATGAGAGAACATGCTGGTTCATATAACATGGAATTTCATCTACTTTTTTGTTCATCTACCATCTGTATCCTTTTGTGGCTTCTTATTTTAATATCAAACCTTCCACTTTCAGTAGTGTAGGCATAATTGGACACCACTTTCTCTAGTCTCATTGTTATATTACTGTGAAGAGAATTTCTGCTGAGTTGAGTAGGAAATGGTGCCCACTTATCTCACTCCTTGCTTGCCTGATTTCCTTGTGTACAGGTTTTATTTTTGGAGGATTCTTGAAAGGTTATCTTTAATAAATTCACTTTTAAAATAACGTGTTCACAGCTTCTGTGTTGTGGCAGCAACACAGTCAGAAATGAAATATATACAAACGACTTCCGGTGTTTGACTTGTATTTACTGATAATTCATGCTTATTACCCTTGAACATGATAAGCCTCACTTTCTTTCCTTCCTACTGTCAAATGATTAAAAGTTTGTTCATTATTTTGCTTGTTGGACAACAGCTTTGAAGGTTATAAGCCTTGTATTAATCACAGTCGTTAACAAATGCAAACATTGTCTGACATGCATATGTTTTTATACCCTTTAACTTCTAACAATAAAAAGTACATGACAGTCCAAACACATTTTCAGATGTAGGAAAGCGACCTACATTTTTTTTCTCATTTGTAGCATTATATGGCATATCACTATTGAACAAAAACGTACACTTGTGTTTTTACAGTTAAAGTATTTCCTGATGAAAATCCTTTTCGATTCCGAGACCGTTCAAAAGATCAGGCTCAAAAGCCACACAATGCGAGGAGTTCTTCACAACCCCTGAAAATAGAAAATGATAAGCTAACAAGAAGAGCTGACTACGGCAGACAGAAAGGTTCATGTTTTTGACTTACTTTTTACTGTAGGGATCGGCACTGATCTTGTAAATACTTGAACGGTGATATACTGGCATTTTAAAGCTTTCTTGCTGTTGCCCACATTTAGGAAGAGAAATCTGCTGTCTTCTGATTTTGAGCTAGATCAATACTTCCATTCCCTTTGACTGTAACTGGAAGTCCAAATCTAAATGATTAATTTTTTAACCTGCTGCTTTCGTGCTCAAATGAAATAAGGCAAAGTATAATTTTCATACAGTGAAGATGGTATTCAAGATAATGGGTGGTTGATTTGGACTTCTAGAACGTTGAGAGTTTCCACTTTCAGAGTGCAATACTTACAGCAGACCTAGTTAGAAAGGATTTAATGTAGAAATACCCTTGTTTTGATGATCTGTATTAACTAATTGTTCAAGAATATGTACTAAAGGCTTCTTTGTAAGCCTCATTTGTAATATATATAGGAATCTTCCCTCCTATTATTCATTGAAATGTTCATGGATCCCAAAGGTGATTTTTTGCATATAAGTATAATACTAAAAGATGGTTTGTGTTCCCCATACATTTTTAACACGACTTCATCTGCGTGTTAATCCAGGCTATGTTTTTATATTTGTGCCAGTATTTTTCAACTACATTGTTGATTTTACACGCCCAAAGTAATAAACATTGAAAAATTATATTCTATTCATATTGTGCATCTGTAATTTCTAAGCTGTACTTGCCTTGGAAGGTTATACTTGTGTAATTAGTTGTGCAGTGTTGAATCTAGAAATGGTAACAGGATACAAGGATCACTATTTGCGTTTAATTTCAAACAACGTTATGTTGGGGTTGCGAGGTTTCAAACTGGCAATGCTTTAAATATAACTAAAAATTGCCCAAGTCTGACAAATCTTTGCATTTTTTTGAAAAGGTAACGAAGAGGATAGATGAGGGTAGGTCAGTTGATGTTGTCTATGTGGACTTTAATGAGGCTTTTGACAAGACCCCACACGGCAGGTTAGTCATGAAGGTTAAGTTGCATGGGATGCAGGGAGAGCTAGCTAATTGAATTTGAAATTAGCTCGATAGTAGGAAGCAGAGAGTGATAGTTGAAGGTTGTTTCTCGGACTGGAGGCCTGTGACTAGTGGTGTGCCAAAGGGGTCAGTGCTGGGGCCTTTGTTACTTTTTATTTACATAAATGATCTGGATGTGAATGTACAAGGCATGATTAGTAAGTTTGAGGATGATACAAAATTAGGAGGTATCATTGACAGCGAGGAATCTTGATCAGATGGGGAAGTGGGCTGAGGGTTGGCAAATGCAATTCAATACAGGTAAGTGTGAGGTGTTGCACTTTGGAAAGTCAAACAAAGGTAGGATTTATACAGTAAATGGTAAGGTTCTGAGGAGTGTTGTTGAACAGAGGGACCAAGGAGTACAAGTACATAATTTGTTGAAAGTGGTGTCACAGGTAGACAGGGTGGTGAAGAAGGGATTTAGCATGCTGGCCTTCATTGGTCAAGGCATTGAGTATAGGAGTTGGGATGTTATGTTACAGTTGTGTAAGTCATTGTTGAGGCTGCACTTGGAGTATTCTATGCAGTTTTGGTCACCCTGTTATAGGAAAGACCATAGTTAAACTGGAAAGTGTGCGAAGAAGATTTACAACGGTGTTGCCAGGACTAGTAGGCCTGAATTATATGGAGAGGTTGGCCAGGATAGGACTTTATTCCTTGGAACGTAGGAGATTGAGGGGTGACTTTATTGAGGTGTATAAAATCATGAGGGGCATAGATAGGATGAATGCATATAGTCTTTTTCCCAGGGATGAGGAATTGAAAACTAGAGGGCATAGGTTTAAGGTAAGAGGGGAAAGATTTAAGAAGAACCTAAAGGGCAACTTCTTCACGCAGAGAGTGGTGCGTATATGGAATGGGCTGCCAGAAAAAGTGGTTGAGGCAGGTACAATAGCAACATTCAAAAAACATTTGGATTGGTATATGGATGGGAATGGTTTAGTGGTATGTGAACCAAATGCGGGTAATTGGAACTAGTTAAGTGGACACCATGGTCAGCATGGACCAGTTTGGTCCAATGGGCATGTTTCCATGCTGTATTACTCTATGACTGAGGTATGGAATGAATTCCAATAAGATGTAGTGTCTTTGGTTTTAGGCTAATCGTTAGATAAGAATGTCATTTGAAACAAGAAAGAATGAAATGTATGGAAACTTCTAAAAATCTTCAAAGTAATGAAAATGTGTTATGATCCCTACTAAAATCAAGGGATCTGTAAATATGGGGACAAGGTTTGGTTCACCTATTCTTACTTTTTTTGAATGATGATCCCAGCAGATGGTAATACTGGACAAGTCAGGTTCCAGGGTGAAACCATACTTGTTAGATCATAAATTTCACTTTTGTAGTTGGTTGCTATGGTTGTTAGTTGCTGGAAATATTCATGCTAGGCTGCCAGTGTTCATGGACAAAACACATTTATCACAAAAAAGAAAAACAACAAACAGAGCCAAATGAAAGTTAATTTGAAAAGATCTTGATCTTCACAACAACAAAGATTTAACCTTTTACCCAGCAATACATTTTTAAAATACTCAATCCCAGAGTAATATCCCTTCTATTTTTAATCTTTAATTTCCTTATTTAACTGACTCTGTACAGTTTTCTTTCTTTGATTATTGAAATAGTTCTAAGACTTCTTTGTAATTTTGACGTAACCTCCCTTCAGTTCTGAGGACCTGGAATTCTGACAGCTAAGAAATTTCTTAAACTCTAACAACCTGGAGGTTCTACGAACCTATAAAACTGCCCTGCTGCTAAGATTAAACTGTTCTTCTGAATTGAAAACATGAGTATATCTGAAAAATCATCTGAGAAGTAAATTATTCAACCTCCATCTTTCACTGAAAATTTTCAAGGTAGTGAGCAAATGAAGTTCATGGATAAGTATATAATGTGTCCATATCTGGTACATAAATATTTAAAGATACATGTCCCTGTATTTAATTATAAATAGTCACACCTAAGCCTATAAAAGTGATGTTGCCTGAGAGATTAGTTGGATGATACTTTAATATTATGATGATGAATCAGTGTTATCCTACTCATATACTTCACTGGAACCCACTCTGTTGGCTCTCAATATTGTTTCTGAATCTGCAGACTTTCTGGTTGATTAATTATTGATAGATACTGGTGGACATGGATTTTTTTTGTTCCTGAACACTCTAGTGTAGGTTTATCTCTGACCGAGCAATTAGCAATTGGGCTAATAACACAATTAAAAACGTTTACTTAGTAGTATGTTGGTCGTTGGTCAGGTCTGTTCATGCCATGTGCCACGTCATACAGCATCTCTGCAAAATAGTTTATTAACATTTTAAAATCTTGTTGTGTTTGGAATCATGAAGCAGAGAACTATCTGAGCTATTGAGAGGTTACTTGGATGAAATGCGTTTCCATTTCAGAAAGCAATAATTTTTGCTTTAGAAAATGGGAATCGGTAAAGGCTATTTAGTCACTTGATTCTTTTGTACCTTCAACAAGATCATAGATGATGTGTGACTTGATTTTATGTATCCACTGTTGCCCTATTTGCATTGATGCATATGGTTAACAGAACTCTTTCAAATTTAGTTCTAAGGTTAGCAATTTATCTAGCATCAATTATCATTTACAGAAGAGAGTTTGAAATTTCCAACGTGCATACTGTCTTTTCATAATTTCATCCCTGAAATGTCTGATGGTAATTTTTGACTCTGAATCCTAGTCCTGGACCTCCCAACCAGCAGAGGTAGAATAGATCAAAGGAGCTATTTGTTCCCATTAATATTTTGAAAATGTTTGATTCCATTATCTATTCCATGACAAATATTGAGACCCCAGCACAGATCCATGCAGGCATCCGATTGTCACATCCTACCAATTTGAGTATCTGCCAATTATCCCTACTGTCACAAGCCACATAGCCAGTTTGCTGTTTAGACTAGTAATTAGTTTCATGTGAAGTACTTTATCAAACACTGGAACTTTATGGTTTTGTAGAATTAAGAAGCAGAAGATAATTGAACCCTAGTGGGAGATGTGCATAGATGCTTTGGTAGCAACCATAAAGTAATAACAAGTAATCTCCCTTTTTTAAATGCTTCCTGTAGCAATGTAATTTAACTTATGAAATTATGCATATACAGTGCTGGTTTGTTCTTGTACTGATTAATGCTGTGTTTCTAATATTCTATTATTTTCTTACCTTGTGATCACACTATCTTCAGAGGATAGATCTCCTTCAAAATCTGGAACGCCACCTCATGGAAACGGTCTGAAACATTTCTGGGATCAACATGTACACAGTGGTCACAGGAAAGGACCTTCGAGTGAAGGTAGAGCTACTCCACAACCAACAGCACCATCAAACAGATTGTTTTATGCTTCTGACAATAAAAACAAAAGCAGCAGCTTCAGTGAATATGATATTGATAGTCAAGATTCAAGGGACAAAGGCAATGGTAGGAATAGAAGTAAGGGTAAGGTTTGGAAACCATCACGGGAAACACTGAATGTGGACAGTATTTTTGAGGATGGAAACAAAAGGCAAAGCAGTCCGAAGCACAGATCAAGTTCTTCTAACCAACCACAGCATAACAGAGGACTGAATGCTCATGACGTATTGAGAGAGAACAGAAAACACAAAGAACTAATGACCATATATGAAGATGAACTCAAACAAGGAAGTGTAAGTTCTTTGGAGGCGGATGGAAAATCAAATCCAGAAAAAGACAAAAGCAACATGACTGAAACCAGTTGTCAAGTGCAGAAAATTGAAGCAGGGTATGAAAGCAATGATCGACTCAGCAATAACTCGGTTAGTTATAATGCTTTGGCCATGGAAACTTTCAATGGAAAGCACTTGAAGAATATTCAAGATTCATTTAGCAACAGGTAACTCTCTTTTTACATTAATTATCAGAGAAGCCTTTCTTCTCTAATTTCTTAATGCACTATAACTCAAGCAGTAAAATAGTGTTTATTTTTATATTCAATTTTGTTAATCCATGCTATTTCCTAGTATGTTAAGATCTCTAAATATTTGCAATATTCAGAAAAATTACTAAACTGTGCATGTTTCCTGTCAGTACACAACCTTTGTGTCAAACTTCATCATCTTTTATTACTTCTGACGTACAAATTTATAATCAACTACTCGTGGTATTGGTGTAAATTCATGAGGAGGACATTTTGTGCCACTAATGACAACACAGTTGCTACTTCTTTTAAACCCTTTGTCTCCCAGAGTGATTGATTTCAGAGTAAATATTTTAGGCATTGTACCAGTGTTCCTTATTCATTTTTTTTAATGCCAGTAGTGACCAAATATCATGGGAAAGCTTGTGTTCCCAATTGCCCATTCAGCCTTGTCCTACCCTCCCCATTTTTTCCTCTCCACTTAATCTTGCCTCTGCTCTTGTGTTCCACCACTTCTGCTATCCTTTTGCCTCAGCCCTCTCTGCTGCCTTCTAACTGCCCTCATCCTCAAATCTGCCATTAAGGGACACTAGATCCAGTTCCACGCTCTCAACATCCACCTGATATTCATTTCTTTGCCACATGGGCTTCTCCCTTTGCCTTGGCATATCAGTGTACACAATCTTCCCTTCCTCACCTACTGACCCTACTGAACCACCTGCCTTCATTCATGCTCCAACTTATTGACCTGTCCCTTCTCCCTACCTGGTTTACATTTGTCTCTCCCTTTCCAACTCCACCAATGTATTGTAAGTACTGTAAATTTTTACATGCTGTATCATCCTCACATTTTAACCTTGCCTGCCTCTGCTTCCTCCAAACTCACCGTACCTCACTCTCCAAACTACCTTTACCCCTCTATTACCTCCAAATTCTGCCTTTCCCTTTTGACTTCCAGTGTTTCAGTTGTTCCTTAGCCTGAATCTGATTATTCTTGACACTTTATCCCCAGCCTGATCTGAAGACTACACTTGAATCTTAACTTCTAATGATCACGTGTAACTTGCTATTTTCCTTCACATCACTGCCAGAAATGTTTCCAAATATAAAACTCCTTTGATTATATCATTAATATACAAATTATGTTCAATAGCTTATGTGCACAGGTATTTCACTTTTTTGCATGGAAGCAAAATGGACAACATGTAATTATATTGTATTTGTAATTCTTATATATTGTATTTAGTTTCTCCCTTCATTTCACATCTTACGGCTGCTTTGCATGTATTGCAGAGAAATTCTTGTATATGCATACCTACGTTTCTGCTTATTGAATTTCTGTATTTTTTAATTTTATTATAGAAAATACAAAATGAAAGAATGGTATATTTTAAAATGGGCAGAATGGATTATCTAAATTTAGTCTCCAGGTATTCAAAATATCTAATTAACCATGCCATATCTGAAGCAATGAATTTCTGCTGACAAAGTTTGTAATCTCGCTATTGATGCATTCCCTCCTAATATCTGCCCCTCATGCTCCTGCAAGTCACTCACTTAATTGAAGCACAGTGTTCATCTGAAGAACTTTTAGGATCTTTATCCGAACTTTTGATACCTTAAACTGCCTCACTACATCACCTGCTTCTGATGTTGTCAGTCTATATTCTGATAAAACTGTAAATGCATATTTAATCTCCAGATTCTACTTCCTCCCCCTATCGTATCTCATTGATCATTCCATTTTTGCTGATGCACTGTGCGCGCAGATGTACTGCATACTATGCTTGCTACTGTGCAACCTCTGAAGCTAAGCTACAAGCTATCACCAACATCCTCATCAAGGCATATGAGAGCACGGGTTTTACACTAAAAATTCTACCTTTGCCACACTGTACTTCAAAGGCACCTTCAAAGGATCTTCGGATAAGTGCAGCATCCCTATTGACACCTAGGAAGCCCTGACACAAGACCACCCAAAGTGAGAAAGTATCTGGGAAGAATCTGTACTCCTCGAGTCTCATTCTGTCAACACAACTTCACTTTGTTGGCAGTGTGAGAGAGAGAGAAAAAAAGTGTCATATCTGAGCTGTCCACCCTCCCATTACCCCCAACCACCACCTATTGCATGTATGTCATACTTTGGACTATTGAGTCACCCGAGAACTCAGTTAGGGTATGGGACTGCCTAAGAAGAAGGATTCATGCATACGTTTAAATCTTTTCATGGTCTTGCCTTTCCTAACCCTGTAATTTTTTTCAAATTTACAATTCTCATCCAGAACTTGCTGTTTCTCCAACTCTGGTCTCCAGTGGCGCTCCATCCTAGATGATTTTGCCATTGGAAGCTTTACCTTCAGCTAGCTTGGACATAATGTTATAGAATTGCTTTGCTAAGTCCCTCACTTTAGGACAGTTCCTAAAACTCACCTTTTAAATGAGCTGTTATTTGTCTATCCTAATATCTTTGACTCAGTGCCCATTTCTGTTTTGCTATCTGGTGGAGCACATGGGTATTTCTTTCCCTATTAAAGGCATTGTATAAGAGTAAGTAGTTATAATTGTTTTAAAATGCGTTCCAGTCCAATTTTCCTCTATGCCATAGCCTTACTTCTTCTGAAGAGTATATTTGTTCTTGATTCACTGTGAGTAACTCCTGGGAAGCACACTAGTAATAAATTGAACATTTTGATTCTGCATGTGTTTTCTATTAACTTTCCCATTTTTAAATTTCTTTTTTTTAACATTTCAGATGGAAAACATCAAGGCACATTACACTACAGTTTTCATACTTTTATCAAGTTTCTGCAACACTGCCACTAACAGGGTGTAATTATGGAATGATAGGTTTCAGTTGGCATTTTTTTGTTCATGGAATATGGCCATCCTTGACTAGGCTAGTACTTATTGCCCATCCTTAATTGCCCAGAGAATGGTTAGGAATCAGCCACATTGCTACATTTATGTAGGCCAGGCCAGGCCAGGTAAGGATGATCGAGGGGAAGATAGGACGAGGTATCTGAGAGCTGACGCTTAGCCTCTGCAATGTAGAGGTCAATTTGCCAGACTACAACAGCACCACCCTTGTTAGTAGGCTTAATAACAAAGACAGGGTTGGATCTAAGCGTACGGAGTACAGTCAGTTCGGAGGAAGATATGTTGGATTGCGTGAGTCGGGGTTGATGGGAGTTGGGGGTGTCAGAGAAATTGAGGCGACCAATGTCACGTCGACAGTTCTCAATGAGCAGATCAAATGCAGGTAAAGGTCAGAGGGAAGGGTCCAGGTGGAGCGAGAGTGTTGGAACTGGTCATGGGGGGTCTGTTATTCCAGAATTCCTATCAGAAACTTTAACTGATACACACACAAATATAATTAGAAACCAGAAAAACCACATTATAGTATATGAATTGCTCTACTGTACAATTTTTGAAACATTATTCTTTTAAATAAAGAATATATAGTGTTAAAAATAAATTGTATAGACATTTAAGGACCTTTGTATGTGGTTTAAATGCAAAAGGATTACACTAGTTCAAATTGTTGTGTATAGTTTTAGACTGGTTTTGAAGTTGAGGATCTCCTCAATAGATAAATGTCCTTGGGAGTTTACATCTCCTTTTTATTTTAATGTACTTCAGGTGTCAGCAAGAATTATACAAACCTAATGCGTGTCCCAATCATTCTCTCAGGTTTCCAGTTAATGAAGGTAAAGTTTGTTCTATTTTTTGTACTCAAACTGTATATTGCATAACTGTTAGTCATGGTCTTTTATGATGTAGTTTGTGAATTGTAAGTAGGAGGATTTACAACTATTAGACAATGTTTAAAAAGTTTAATATGTTGACAGTCAAATTCCAAACACAGGTTAACAAAATTGCAATTGGGGGTGATCTTACAATTTCTCTCCAATGTTCCTGAGTGTTTATTCTAATTGTGATTGATATTGGAATAGAGGTATACAATATCCCTTTTTCATAATTCTGTCCATTCATTGTTGCACTCGTTGATTCTTACTACATTTATCAACTTAGTTTGGATGTATTTAAATTTATTTTATCTGACATATGCTACTGTTGGTGGTTAATAAGTGCCTATTATTTCCAAAGAATAAAAAAGAAAATTTGTCTTGCATGAATAATTAAAAAAAAACTCTTATTGAAACTTTTAGATCTTTCTTTCAGTCACTGAAGAACCACCAGTTCTTTTTGAAATTGTATCTTATGCTCATGTTATTGGACAATGTTTGAATAGCTTTTTAAGATGTTACAGTCATAACATTTTGAGCACAAAAGATTTTAAGGCTATTTATTCCTATGCCATTAAACAATTTGCTTTAACTTCTTTTCACTCTTCAGTTCTTTTTTTCTTTATGGCAATTTATCTAATACCCTTTCAAGCATTTGGATTGACTCAGTAACCAACTTAAATCATGGTGTATTTTTTTGGGTGGAGGTGCAATTCTAACCTAACCCTGCATGCTTATTATTAAAGTTACTACCAACCATTGGAAATGATCATTCCTAACATTGGGTACTTTGTCTTCCCTTTCTTTATCCACCTCTGCACAGTATTTGCAGTGCTATTTATCAACTCTTTTATAACTGCATCTTTATCCCTGGTATCATCCGAGTAAAACTGGTTACTGAAGGCAAATACCCTTCTGATAGTGAGGTATCCAGTCCTTCATTTATTTTTACATTTTGTGACCTTGTATGTTAAATCTAACATCCCATATCTGGAACCACCCAGAGCATATATATTAGACTTGGTGTTATGTAATGTGACAGAATTGATGAATGATCTCAGAACAAAGGCACCTCTAGTTAGCAGCCACCATATGATTGAATTTTACATCCAGGTTGTAAGGAAGACTAAGACTAGCATTTTAAATTTCAATAAGAGCCACTATGTGGGACTGAAAGCTCAGTGAGCTGGAGTGAACCGTGATAACTAGGCTAAGAGATATATCAACAGAGAGAGTGTCAGACATTTAAGGTTGATATTTCAGAATGATTGAAATAAGAATATTCCTTAGACAAAGAAAATATTCTAAGGGGAGGGCACTCCATCCATGGTTAACTGAAGAAAGTATTGAAGCAGTAAACTTATGTAAAGATGAGTAGCAAACCAGATGATTGGCCAGAATGTAAAGAATGGCAGAGAATGTCTAATAGGATAATCAGGAAGAGAAAATTAGATTGAGAGGAGGTTAGCCAGAAATGGAGGGGAAAAAAAGTGATGGCAATACCACAGGTATTTAAAAAGGAAAATACTAGGTAATGTAAGTGCTTGTTCTGCAGAAAACGAGAATGGGAAGTTAATGGTAGTTAATAAAGAAATGGATGAAATTACCAAGTATTTTGCTTCTGCTTTCAATATAAAGGATACAAAAAGCATTCCAGTAATGGCTGTAAATCATGACGTGGAATTGAGAAAAGAACTTGGTCAAATTGCAGTCAACAGGGAAGCAAGTACTGAACAAACTGATGGAACTGTGGGCTAACAGGTCGCTGGGTCCTGATAAACTTTAACCAGTGGACTTCAAAGTAGTGGCTGATAGGTAGTTGATGTGTGGGTGTTAATCCTCTAAAAATTTGCCTTATTTCTGGAAAGTTTGCAACAGACTGGAAAGTAGTAAGTAGAAATCCACAGTTCAAGGAGGGAGAAGGCAACAAACAATCAGTTGGACAGTTTGCTTGATATCTCTTGTCGGGAAGGTGTTAGAAATGGTCATTAATGAGGAAATAGCTGCACCTTCAAAAACAGTCAAGGTGGGACTAGTTTAGTTTGGGATTATGTTTGGCATGGACTGGTTAGACCGAAGGGTCTGTTTCTGTGCTGTGTGGTTCTGATTGTGTTCTATATCCTCATCTAAATCGTTTAGTCCAGCAGCTTCTAAAACACAACTGCCTCCAGCCCAAAGCCCAATCATAGCCAGCTCATACTTTTTCTCTCTTTTTCAACATTCTTTGTGGTTGGCTAGCCAGCACCAGATCTCCCTTGATTGACCAATTCAACATTTCATCAGTTGCTGGTCTCAACATATCAATATCTCAGTGCTAAATCGCCTACAGTTCTTTGAGCTATAATTAACCTGCATTATCTTTCCAGGGCAGTTCCCAGCAGCAAACATCAACGTTTGTGTTCTTTCTTTTTTAAAATAAGCTGTGTTCAAAGTTCAGTTCTCAACTGCAACTCAGTCACAAATCAAAGATGAGAAAAATAAAAGAAAAAACCGTGATGGTTTCAACAAAAGAAGGTGGTATTATCATGTTGTTAGGCAGCATTAAAGCAGCAGTAACCTGGTCCATTTGGGTTCTGTTGGGTTTGCTTTTCTTTCAGGCCTCATCACAGCCTAAGTCTCAATGTAGACAAAATTGTTGGCCTCGTGGTATTATCTCTAGATTACTAATCCAGAGAACCAGGTATTGTTCTGGCAATCTGTGTTTGAATTTCACCATGGCAGCTGATGTTCAATTCAATAAAAATCTGGAATTGAGTCTAATGATGACAATGAAACCAATGCTGATTGTCAGGAAAAAAAAAAACCCACCTGGATCACTAATATCCTTTAGGGAAGAAAACTGCTGTCGACCTGGTCTGGTCTGCATGTGATTCCAGATTCTTAGCAATGTGGTTGACTTTTAACTGCCCTCTGGGCTTTTGGGAATGGGCAATAGATGGGCCTAGCCAATGATATCCATATCTGTTGAACAAATATTTAAAACAAAAGCTGCATGTAAGAGGGGGATGTGAAAATGATTGCCCTTAACAACAAGACAGCATTTGACCAAGACATCAAGGAGTCCTGGCAAAATTGAAGTCCATGGAAATAGAGGAAAACCCTTCACTGGTTGGAGTCATAGCTTGTACATTGGCAGATGATTGTTATTGTGAAGGCCAGCCTTCTCAGTTCCAGGACATCACTGCAGGTGTTTTTCAGGGTGGTCTCCTAGATCCAAAAATCTTCAGTTGTTTCATTAATGATCTTAGTTCATATGGTTGCAAATGGGGATGTGCACTGATGATTACATGAAGTTAGTACCATTTACAACTCAGATACTGAATCAATCTGTGCCAAAATGTAGTAATGCCTAGATAACATTCAGGCTTGGACTAATAACTGCCATAAAAATTTTAACTGATGACCCCTCCAACAAGAGAATCTATCCATTTCCTTTTGACATTCAGTGGCGTTGCAGAATCCCACATTCTCAAATGATAGCTATAAGAACAAGTTAGATGCTGGAAATTATGGCCAGTAACTCATCTCCTGACTCCTCAAAGCCTGTTCACCAAGAGGCACAAGTCAGGAGTGTGATGAAATGTTCTTCACTTGTCTGGATGAATACAGGTTCAACAACACATAAAGGTCAACACCATTTTGAACATTCACTCCCTCCACCATCAACACAAGGTGGCAGCAGTGTACACCATCTCCAGGCTGCACTGTAGCAAGTCCCCAAGGCTCAATCATCTTCTTTCAAATCTGCATCCTCTACCTCCTAGAATGACAAGGCCAGAATTCATGTGGGAACAGCATTACCTGAAAGTTCCCTTCCAAGTCATGCCTTAGACTTGGAACTGTATCATTCTTTCACTGTTATGGGATCAGCATCCTGGACCAAAACCCTTCTGATCAGCACTGTGGGTGTAGTGTACCATATGTAATGCAGTGGCTCAATCAGGTGACTTACCACCACCTCCCACGGATATTTGGGGATGGATAGCTTTGTTAAATGTGCCTACATTCCAACAAGAATAATAAACAGCCAAGTCCATATTGAATTTTCAATATTTTCCATATTGAATGTGTATATATGTTGGGCAAAAAATGTCCTTACGCTTTGCTCCTTTTTTAAAAAGATTACACACTAGGCATAAATGTGGCCAATGACATTTGTTGGAAGAACTTGCATTTTTACCATTTTGCATTAACAACAAAACTAAGAGCATTAAGACAAGTCTCCTGGCCCTGATGCAATGCATCCCAGGGTACTAAAAGAGGTGATGGGGGAAATAGCAAATGCACTAGTAATTATTTACCAAAATTCACTGGACTCTGGGGTGGTTCCTGCAGATTGGAAAACATCCCATGTGACGCCACTGTTTAAAAAAGGAAGTAGACAAAAAGCAGGTAACTTATAGCCAGTTAGCTTAACTTCGGTAGTGGGGAAAATGCTTGAATCTATCATTAAGGAAGAAATAGCAAGACATCTGGATATAAATTGTCCCATTGGGAACGCCCACCATGGGTTCATGAAGGGTAGGTCATGTTTAACTAATTTGGTGGAATTCTTTGCATGGTGGACAATGGGGAACCTGTGGATGTGGTGTATCTGGATTTCCAGAAGGCATTTGACAAGGTGCCACACCAAAGGCTGCTACATAAGATAAAGTTGCACGGTATTACAGGTAATGTATTGGCATGGATAGAGGATTGGTTGACCAGTAGAAAGCAAAGAGTAGGGGTAAATGGGTGTTTTTCTAGTTGGCGGTCAGTGGCTAGTGGTGTGCCTCAGGGATCAGTGTTGGGACCTCAATTGTTTATAATTTACATAGATGATTTGGAGTTGGGGACTAAAAGAGGTGGTGTGGTGTGTCAAAATTTGCAGATTACACTAAGATGACTGGTAGAGCAAAGTGTGCAGAAGACACTGAAAGTCTGCAGAGGGATATAGATAGTCTAAGTGAGTGGGCAAAGGT